GGCAACACCTGCCCAAAAGGAAAGACGAGAAGGTAGGAAGGAACAGGTAGACTGGACGAATGGACGTGGGGAACCCATGGCGAAAAGAGAAAGGAGAAGAGTGCTGACACGATGTGGGGATTACAACCAATGTCACAAACAATTTATGTATAAATTTTTGAATGAGAAACTAATTTGCGCTGTAAACTTTCACCTAAAGCACAATAAATTTTTTTTTAAATTATAAAGGAAAATGGGCAGATTTTTTTTTTTATAAAGGATTTATTTACTGCAAATATAAAGGGTTGATGTCAATATTAAAGAACTCATGCAAAACAATTCATGCCCAGTGAGTAAGAGGGCAAAGGGCATGAAGAAATAATTCACAAGAGGAAATGCAACTGGTGAGCAGCATATGCAAAATATGCTCAATCTCACTATTAATTCAAATTATAATTCAAATTAAAGCAACAAGGTTCTGCTTTTTAACCCATTAAAAATATATATATAAGAAGGTAATGTGAAATGCTAGTAAAGATATCATAAAATTGGTGTTTTGGGGGCACTCCTGGAAGCAGTATGAATTGTTATGATCATTTTGGAAGGTAGTTTGGTAATGTGAATTTTGGCCCATAAAAATATTTCTGCCTTATCACCCAGCATTTTTATTTCCCATAGGTTATCTCGGGAAAATAATCCCAAATATGAGAGGGAAAAAAGGTTCATCACAGTATTTTTTGATATAGCATAACTGCATACAATCCAACATCAGGAATGGTAAAGCATAGTGTATCTATTCAATGGATATGTGTAACTGTTTTAAAAAAGAACTTGAAAGGAACTACTTTTCCACATTTCATTTATCGTACTTATATTTTTGTCTCCCCCACGCATCTATCAGTTTGTCATACTGTGGGGGCTTGTGTGTTGCTGTGATGCTGGAAGCTATGCCACCGGTATTCAAATACCAGCAGGGTCACCCATGGCGGACAGGTTTCAGCTGAACTTCAAGACTAAGACTAAGACTAGGAAGAAGGACCCGGCAGTCTACTTCTGAAAAGAATCAGCCAGTGAAAACCTTACGAATAGCAGCAGATCATTGTCTGATATAGTGCTGGAAGATGAGCCCACCCATCCCAGGTTGGAAGGTAGTCAAAAGACCACTGGGGAAGAGCTGCCTCCTCAAAGTAGAGTCGACCTTAATGATGTGGATGGAGTCAAGCTTTCGGGACCTTCATTTGCTGATGTGGCATGACTCAAAATGAGAAGAAACAGCTGCAAACATCCATTAATAATAGGAACCTGGAATATACGAAGGATGAATCTAGGAAAATTGGAAATCATCAGAAATGAAATGGAATTCATAAACATTGCTATCCTAGGCATTATTGAGCTGAAATGGACTGCTACTGGTCATTTTGAATGGGACAGTCATATGGTTTACTATGCCTGGAAGGACAACTTGAAGAGGAATGGTGTTACATTCATCATCAAAAGGAACATTTCAAGATCTATCCTAAAGTACAACGGTGTTAGTGATAGGATAGTATCCATATGCCTACAAGGAAGACCAGTTAATACAACTATTATTCAAATTTACGCACCAACCACTAGGGCCAAAGATGAAGAAATTGAAGATTTTTACCAACTTCTGCAGTCTGAAATGGATCGAACATGCAGTCAGAATGCATTGATAATTACTGGTGATTGGAATGCAAATGTTGGAAATGAAGGCTCAGTAGTTGAAAAATATGGCCTTGGTGATAGAAATGATGCCGGAGATCACATGATTGAATTTTGCAAGACCAACGACTTCTTCATTGCAAATACCTTTTTTCACCAACATAAATGGCGACTGTACACATGGACCTTGACAGATGGAAGACACAGGAATCAAATCGACTACATCTGTGGAAAGAGATGATGGAAAAGCTCAATATCATCAGTCAGAACAAGGCCGGGGCTGACTGCGGAACAGACCATCAATTACTCACATGCAAGTTCAAATTGAAACTGAAGAAAATTAGAACAAGTCCACAAGAGCCAAAGTACGAAGTTGAGTATACCCCACCTGAATTTAGAGACCCCTTCAAGAATTGATTTGACGCACTGAATACTGAAGACTAGATGAATTGTGGAATGACATCAAGGACATCATACATGAAGAAAGCAAGAGGTCATTAAAAAGACAGGAGAGAAAGAAAAGACCAAAATGGATGTCAGAAGAGACTCTGAAACTTGCTCTTTAACGTTGAGTAGCTAAAGCAAAGGAAAAAATGATGAAGTAAAAGAGCTGAACAGAAGATTTCAAAGGGTGGCTCGAGAAGACAAAGTAAAGTATTATGATGATATGTGCAAAGACCTGGAGATAGAAAACCAAAAGTGAAGAACACGCTCAGCATTTCTCAAGCTGAAAGGATGGAAGAAAAAATTCAAGCCTCAAGTTGCAATAGTGAAGGATTCTACGGGGAAAATATTAAATGACATAGGAAGCATCAAAACAAGATGGAAGGAATACACGGCATCACTATACCAAAAAGAATTGGTTGACGTTCAACAATTTCAGGAGGTAACATGATCAGGAACTGATGGTACTGAAGGAAGAAGTCCAAGCTGCACTGAAGGCATTGGTGAAAAACAAGGCTCCAGGAATTGACTGAATACCAACTGAGATGTTTCAACAAACATATGCAGCAGTGGAAGTGCTCACTTGTCTATGCCAAGAAATTTGAAAGACAGCCACTTGGCCAATCAGCTGGAAGAGATCTATATTTATGCGTATTCCCAAGAAAGGTGATCCAACTGAATGCAGAAATTATCGAACAATATCATTAGTGTCACATGCAAGGAAAATTTTGCTGAAGTTCATTCAAAAGCGGCTAAAGCAGTATATCCACAAAGAACTGCCAGAAATTCAAGCTGGATTTAGAAGAGGACGTGGAACCAGGGATATCATTGCTGATATCAGATGGATCCTGGCTGAAAGCAGAGAATAGCAGAAAGATGCTTACCTGTGTTTTATTGACTATGCAAAGGCATTCCATTGTGTGGATCATAACAAATTATGGATAACGTTGCTGAGAATGGGAATTCCGGAACACTTAATTGTGCTCATGAAGAATCTGTACATGGATCAAGAGGCAGTCATTCGAACAGAACAAGGGGATACTGCATGGTTTAAACTCAGGAAAGGTGTGCGTCAGGGTTGTATCCATTCACCATACCTATTCAATCTGTATGCTGAGCAAATAACTCAAGAAGCTGGACTATATGAAGAAGAACAGAGCATCAGAATTGAAGGAAGACTCATTAACAACCTGCGTTATGCAGATAACACAACCTTGTTTACTGAAAGTGAAGAGGACTTGAAGCACTTACTGATGAAGATCAAAGACTACAGCCTTCAGTATGGATTACACCTCAACACAAAGAAAACAAAAATCCTCACAACTGGACCATTAAGCAACATCATGACAAACAGAGAAAAGATTGAAGTTGTCAAGGATTTCATTGTACTTGGATCCACCCCATGGAAGCAGCAGTCAAGAAATCAAAAGATGCACTGCACTGAGCAAATTGTCTGCAAAACACCTCTTCAAAGTGTTGAAAACAAAGATGTCACCTTGAGGATTAAAATGCGCCTGACCCAAGCCATGGGGTTTTCAATTGCCTCATATGCATGCGAAAGCTGGACAATGAATAAGGAAGACCAAAGAAGAATTGACACCTTTGAATTGTGGTGCTGGCGAAGGATATTGAATATACCGTGGACTGCCAGAAGAATGAACAAATCTGTCTTGGAAGAAGTACAACCAGAATGCTCCTTAGAAGCACGGATGGCGAGACTACGTCTCACATACTTTGGACATGTTATCAGGAGGGATCTGTCCCTGGAGAAGGACATCATGTTTGGTAAAGTAGAGGGTCAACAAAAAAGAGGAAGACCCTCAAGGAGATGGATTGACACAGTGGCTGCAACAATGGGCTCACGCATAGTAACAATTGTGAGGATGGTGCAGAACTGGGCAGTGTTTTGTTCTGTTGTGCATAGGGTCGCCATGAGTCAGAACCGACTCCACAGCACCTAATAACAACATTACTTTTTGTTTTAGAGTCTGTGAAATGGGGGCTCCTCTCCTCCGTGGGTGAGATTATGGTTTTGATTGCAGTGAAAATGACTTCTAGACACACCATATAGAGACCTGGTTTGGTTGAAATTAGAGGGATCAAAGAGCTAAATCACTCATTTTAGAGATTAAGAAACTGAGGCTCAGAGAAATTGAGATTTACCCAAGGTTATACACTTAATGCTGATACTTTTGATTTTTTAAACAGCCAATCTTGCTGTTTCATATTCTAGACCTTTTATACTCTTTCTGAAAAACTGATAATCTTATTTAAAAAATCTCATTCAAATTCAATGTAGTAAATATTCCTCTAGCATATACTTTTTGATAGATGTCACATAAGACTCTCTAGATTTCATCTTTCTTCAAATTTCAGGTGGTTTCTAATTACAAAATAATGTGCAAAGTATGTTTTATGAATACTTAAGAGTCAGCCAGTCATTTATTGCAAAATCCATTTATTAATAGGTGTGTTAGAAAAATGATAAAGTGTCTTATTTCACAATGTTTACAAATAATTCTGTATGTTAAAAGTATAACCAATATTTGTTTTATGTATATCAATGTTTATTTTGTTTCTTGGAGCTTTCTAACATTTAGTGAGAAATTTTCTTTAACAGAGACTGATTTTTCTACTGAAAATGTTAAAACAGGAAAACAACAAATTTATTAAATAAAATAAATTGCTTAAATATTCTAAATGGAATTCCAAATGTAATGACTATTCCTTTTTTTTTTTTTTAAGCATCAAAGTTTAGGGAACAAGCAACAAACATTAAAGTTACATTAAAATCTATGCATACAGAAGAACACTCCTTCCTGGCTAGCAGAGCTTCGAATCCATTTAAAGTCTGGCAGCTGTGAGATGCCACTCAGGAGGGAAGAGCACATCACAGATGGCCAGGTTTTCAGTCTACTTCCACTTCCCTCTTTGGGATAACTCTTGAGACTCAGACTGTGGTTCCTGAAGCAAACTATCCATTAACTGGGTCTATATTTCTGAGAGAGAGAAAGATCTGTAATTTATGATCAAAATCAATGGCTCTATATTGAGGTTCCTTGTATTTTCTGGTCATCTTGGTACCCAGGTATGTTATGAGTTCACATCGTTCTATAAACTGGTCCATCTTCTTCTTATATTTCTTTCGTGTATATTCAGAACCTTTGGGATTAAATGCTGTAGAAAATTTTATACAACTGTAAATATTTTTTGTTAAATCGGCGAGTCATTAAAGAGAAAGAGAACTATATGTATGTTTAAGTTGTGTAGCTATAGTTGAGAAGATATCCATATCCCAAATAAGATTTGTGGATTATTCTATTTTAGGTCATAATTGCCTCTATTCACCTTCCTCTATTGTATGAATTTTTTTGAGAGCTGACTATATTACTCATTGTCCATGCTTTAAGAACTAGAGACTCAGTTTTGATATTTTCATTAAAATATTTGCCACCAACACAAACACACCCAATCACACACCAATCCAGCTCAACAACCCTTTTTCTCATATATAATGTTACATTAGTTCTGTGTAGTATATCATTTAAAAAAAGACATACCTTTTAGATGAAGTGCTATAAATAGTAGCGCAGATCTCTTTACGCTTAAGAAGGGGAATTTGGGTTTTACGCATCCTGCTGCATTCATTGCTTTAATTAGAGAAGTGGCAATACCCTGTAGGCGGGAACAATTTAAATCATGTGTATATTTGAGTTTGGTTTAGTGGTATATAGATAATGCTATTCTTTACATCAAATGGCCTCTGGGGCTGGGGAGGAGAGTTATAAGGATAGTTAGATGACCATATAGCCAACAGAATAGAAACCCAAAATTTGATTAAGAAAGATGCAAATTACAAATTGGCTTATGGCCAGTTGGGTGATGGCTACATGGGCTTCATTACACAATTCTATTTTTTATATATGTTTGACATTTTCCATAATAAAAAGTTAAAAAAGAAGAGTAAAAAACCAAAACCAAACAAACAAAAAAAGGGCTTTGGGTTGCCTTATCCCATCTCTGCTTCAATGCTCAGAACTGGCCAGATTGCCTTCAACTCTCAGGACCCTCGGCCACCCGACGAGGAATTCCAGAGACCACAGTTATCACTGCAGTCTGGAGCCCAGAGTGGACAAAGGCAGGAGACCCTCCTTTGTGAGAATACTCCTCTCTGGGTGAGCCTCACTTTGCATTTTGATGTAAACCAAACTGAAGACTAAATGTCTATGCGAGTTGAAAAAAGGGGGAGGTGGTGAAGAATTGTGAGAAAATGCTTTAGGCATTTATTTTAGGCATTTATTTGTTTTCAAATAACTTTTAAAATAGCTACTATTTTAAAAATGGCTACTAATAAGTTTAGCTCTTTTTTCAGAAGACTTATATTTGGATAAGAGTCCCTGGGTGGTGTAAATGTTTAATATGCTCAGCTGCTCACTGAAAGATTGGCAGTTCAAGTCCACCCAGAGGCACCTCAGAAAAAGGGCCTGGTGATCTACTTCCAAAAATAATCAGCCATTGAAAACCCTATAGAGCACAGTTCTACTCTGATACATATGAGATCTCTGTAAGTTGGAATCAATTTAATGGTAGCTGGTATATTTGGATGAATAAGATGTAGCTTGAGTAGGCAGCTTCGTCTGGATTTAGTGCAAAATATGGGCCTCATGGTTTTGTTGTAGCAGCACGCAACTCAGCTCTTTTGAGCAGCTAATGAACCTCTTACAGGCTGAATCTGCGTATATCAGAGTATGGAAATGTTTTACAGACATCAAAACTAAAAAAAATAAGAACTAAATTACACATCCATGTGAAATGTAAAGAATTTCATAATGATCTACCCTTTCTTAGTACAGATATATGGGAATTAGCTATGGAAGCAGGGACTTTTCACATTTTATTTATAACAGTTACACAAAGAAAATAGGTTAAGAGTGAATTTGCAGCTTAAAATCAGAGTACTCCGCTTTGACTTTCGTTGTTACTGAAATAAAAATTGTTAAGGAAGAGATATTGTACTCTTCTAATATATATACACAGAAAATGATGCAACTGAACCTGTTCCAGGTATCCAGGCAAAGGAAGACTAGTAAGAAATATCGGTTCCTTTAATGGGGGAAGTTTGTATGGAAGTTTCTGATTCCAATATTTCAGTGGTGACCTAAGAACACAAAGTTCATTAGATGCATGCTCACAAATGTACTTATGTGTACATAAGAACATAGATATACAAGAAAAGACAAAGTTCACTACCTGTTTTTCTCCACTGAAGAAAACTATACAAGTGGGAAGATTGAGGCTCCTTGAAATTCATGGCCACCAACTTCACCTGAGCCCAAATCTGCTCACTCATTCTCCCCTCTCCTTTTTTCTCCTCTCCCTCTCGTTTTTGGCATTTCCTTCATTTGGATCCTTTGCATGCATCTGCACTTAAATATGCTCATACTTACCCAGTTAAAAAAACAAAACAAAACAATCCTCACTCTTTCAATTCTATATCCCTGCCAGAAACTAACGTCTCTTCTTGTTTATAGTTAAACTTCTTCAAACTGCGTGCTTCACTAGAGATCGCCAACTACTGCGCAAACTCCATTTGCAGATGTGATTTAACCCACATAATATTTTTTAAAAAACTGAATCAGTCATGAATGCTTAAAAATCAGAAAATTTAAAAAAGAAATTTGGGTTTCTAGTGTCTTGTGAAAAACAGAAATGTCTGGCAACAAATGAATAGCCGCTGCACGTTAGTGGGGCCGTGTGCCCTCAAGTTTGCAGCAGCCCCCACTATTTACTGCGTACCTTTTCACTTCTGACCTGCTTCCCTCATGAACTTTAACCTTTTGGGCACTTATAGGCATCTGCATTTGTAACATGTGAACTACAGGCAGACTCTTAATTTCCTCACCTCTCATCTACTCCTCAGTGCTTTGTAATTGGCTTCCACTCACCTCACTCTACTGAAACTGTTCTTGCCAAGATCACCAATGACCTGTACAACCTAAGTCTGACGGGCTTTTCAGCCCCTGTCTTGCTTGACCTCTAAGCAGCATATAAAACCATTGGCCACGCCCTCCTAGAGACAGTCTCTCTCCGTAGGCCTACATGGAGCCTCCCCATCCTGGCTCTCCTTTCACCTCTCCGTGGATTCTTCTTTTTCAGTCTCCTCTGACATTTATATGTTGGTGTTCCTCAGGGCTTGGTCCTAAGCCCTCTGCTTTTTCACATCACTCTTTGGGTGAGCTCAAACACATCTGTTTCTGGGAGTGACCTGTTCCCTGAGTGCCAGAAATGTATATTGAACTGCCTACCACAATTACTTCAAATGAAGTATGCTTCAAACTGAGTGGTTCCTCTTTTCCTGCAAAACAGCTTCTCTTCCAGTGTTCCCTACCTGAGGAATGATACCACAACCCTCTTCTCTGACCCAAACCAAAGACCCAGAATTCATCTTTGACTTCTCTCCCTCCCTCTCTCAGGCCCTCAACCAATCAGTCATCCAGGCCTGTTGATTCTACCTACTAAATATCTCTCAAATTGGTTCACTTCTCTCTATCCTAACACCAGAGTCCAGGCCATATTATTTTGGACAGGATTTTTCTCTGAATATATATAGGTATAGATGTTGTTGTGTGTTGCTGAGTCAATTCCAACTTATAGTGACCCCATGTAACAGAGAAGAACTGCTCCTTAGTGTTTTCTAGGCTGTAATCTTTATGGAAACAGATCGCCAAGTCCTTCTTTCACAGAGTCACTGGGTGGGTTCGAACCAACAACCTTTCAGTTAGCAGCTGAGCCCTTAAACATTGCGCCACCAGTGTTCCTTACAGGTATTGTTGTTGTTGTTGTTAGGTGCCATTGAGTCGGTTCCAATTCATAGCGACCCTATGTACAACAGAACGAAACACTGCCCGGTCCTGCACCATCCTCACAATCCTTGTTATGCTTGAGTCCATTGTTGCAGCCATTGTGTCAATCTCTCTCGTCGAGGGTTTTCCTCTTTTTTGCTGACCCTCTACTTTACCAAGCACAATATCCTTCTCCAGGGACAGATCCCTCCTGATAACATGTCCAAAGTATGTGAGACATAGTCTTGCCATCCTTGCTTCTAAGCAGCATTCTGGTTGTACTTCTTCCAAGACAGATTTGTTCATTCTTTTAGCAGTCCATGGCATATTCAATATTCTTTACCAACACCACAATTTGAATGCATCAATTCTTCGGTCTTCCTTATTCATTGTCCAGCTTTCGCAAGCATATGAGGTAACTGAAAACACCATGGCTTAGGTCAGGCACACCTTAGTCCTCAAGGTGACATCTTTGTTTTCAACACTCTGAAGAGGTCTTTTGCAGCCGATTTGCCCAATGCAATACATCTTTTGATTTCTTGACTGCTGCTTCCATGAGGTGGATCCAAGTACAATGAAATCCTTGACAACTTCAATCTTTTCTCTGTTTGTCATGATGTTGCTTAATGGTCCAGCTGTAAGGATTTTTGTTTTCTTTATGTTGAGGTGTAAGCCATACTGAAGGCTGTAGTCTTTGATCTTCATAAGTAAGTGCTTCAAGTCCTCTTCACTTTCAGCAAGCAAGGTTGTGTCATCAGCATAACGCAGGTTATTAATGAGTCTTCCTCCAATCTTAATGCCCTGTTCTTCAGAGAGTCCAGCTTCTGGGATTATTTGCTCAGTATACAGATTGAATAGGTATGGTGAATGGATACAAACTTGATGCATATCCTTCCAGACTTTAAACCACACAGTATCCCCTTGTTCTGTTCAAACAGTCGCCTCTTGATCTTTGTACAGGTTCCTCATGAGCACAATTAAGTGATCTGGAATTCCTATTCCTCGAAATGTTATCTATAATGTGTTATGATCCACAGAGTCGAATGCCTTTGCACAGTCAATGAAACGCAGGTAAACATCTTTCTGGTATTCTCTGCTTTCAGCCAGGATCTACCTGACGTCAGCAATGACATCCCTTGTTCCACATCCTCTTCTGAATCCAGCTTGAATTTCTGGAAGTTCCCTGTTGATATGCAGCTGCAGCTGCTTTTGAATGATCTTCAGCAAAATTTTACTTGCATGTGATATTAATGATATTGTTCAATAATTTCCACATTCAGTAAAATCACCTTTCTTGGGAATAGGCATAAATATAGATCTCTTCCAGTTGGTTGGCCAGGTAGCTGTCTTCTGAATTTCTTGGCATAGATAAGTGAGCACTTCCCAGTGCTGCATCCTTTGCTGAAACATCTCAATTGATATTCTGTGAATTCTAGAGGTTTGTTTTTCGCCAATGCCTTCAATGCAGCTTGGACTTCTTCCTTCAGTACCAGGATCATATGCTACCTCCTGAAATGCTTGAACGTTGACCATTTCTTTTTGGTATAATGACTCTTTGTATTGCTTCCATCTTCTTTTGATGCTTCCTGCGTCATTTAGTATTTTCCCCATAGAATCCTTCACTATTGCAACTCGAGGCTTGAATTTTTTCTTCAGTTCTTTCAGCTTCAGAAATGCCAAGTGTATTCTTCCCTTTTGGTTTTCTATCTCCAGCTCTTTGCAGGTAACATTATAATACGTTATTTTGTCTTCTCAAGCCGTCCGTTGAAATTGTCTGTTCAGCTCTTTTACTTCATTATTTCTTCCCTTTTGCTTTAGCTACTCAACGTTCAAGAGCAAGTTTCAGAGTCTCTTCTGACATCCATTTTGGTCTTTTCTTTCTCTCCTGTCTTTTTAATGACCTCTTGCTTCATGTATGATTTCCTTGATGTCATTCCACAACTCATCTGGTCTTTGGTCATTAGTGTTCAGCTCATCAGATATATTCTTGAGATGGTCTCTAAATTGAGGTAGGATACCCTCAAGGTCGTACTTTGGCTCTTGTGGACTTGTTCTAATTTTCTTCAGCTTCAGCTTGAATTTACATATGAGCAATTGATGGTCTGTTCCACAGTTGGCCCCCGGCCTTGTTCTGACTGACGATATTGAGCTTTTCCATCATTTCTTTCTACAGATGTAGTCGATTTGATTCCTGTGTATTCCATCTGGTGAGGTCCACATGTATAGTTGCTGTTTATGTTGGTAAAAAATGGTGTTTGCTGTGAAGAAGTCGTTGGTCTTACAAAATTCAATCATGCGATCTCTGGCATTGTTTCTAACACCAAGGCATACTTTCCAACTACTAGCCCTTCTTCTTTGTTTCCAACATTCGCATTCCAATCACCAGTAATTATCAATGCATCCTGACTGCATGTTCGATCATGCATCATGCATCTGTCAGTTTGTCATATTGTGGGGCTTGTGTGTTGCTGTGATGCTGGAAGCTATTCAAATACCAGCACGGTCACCCATGGTGGACAGGTTTCAGCTGAGCTTCAAGACTAAGACAGATTAGGAAGAAGGGCCCGGCAGTCTACTTCTGAAAAGAATTAGCCAGTGAAAAGCTTATGAATAGTAGCAGAACATTGTCTGATATAGTGCTGGAAGATGAGCCCCCCCGGTTGGAAGGGAGTCAGAAGACCACTGGGGAAGAGCTGCCTCCTCAAAGTAGAGTCAACCTTAATGACATGGATGGAGTCAAGCTTTTGGGACCTTCATTTGCTGATGTGGCACGACTTAAATGAGAAGAAACAGCTGCAAACATCTATTAATAATAGGAACCTGGAATGTATGTAGTATGAATCTAGGAAAATTGAAAATCAAAAATGAAATGGAATGCATAAACATTGATATCCTATGCATTAGTGAGCTGAAATGAACTGGAATTGTCCATTTTGAATCAGACAAGCATATGGTCTACTATGCCTAGAATGACAACTTGAAGAGGAATGGCATTACATTCATCATCAAAAGGAACATTTCAAGATCTATCCCGAAGTACAACGCTGTCAGTAATAGGATAGTATCCATAAGCCTACAAGGAAGACCAGTTAATATGACTATTATTTACACACCAACCACTGAGGCCAAAGATGAAGAAATTGAAGATTTTTACCAAGTTCTGCAGTCTGAAATTGACCTAACATGCAATCAGGATGCATTGATAATTACTAGTGATTATAGGTATAGATACAGATATATCCTCCTAGATCCGAGTATGGTACATAGAGCATAGGAGATAGTCGATAGAAATTATTTGTGACTTACTGAATAATCTCACCTGAAAAATTTCTGGAGTTTTTCCTCAGTCTCACAAATATATATACGATCACGATATTCTAAAGCACAGTTAATGTTACCAGGTATTAGGGCTTCATATCTAAAAGACACATATAAAAATCAAATGTATAATTAATATGCAATATTGTGTAAATAAAAATGTCAACAAATGTTTTATTTTTCTACCTATGCAATTGGAGGAAGAAATAGTTTTCAATTAAACAATAGGGAATTTTTGATCAAGATGTTAAGATTATTTCATGAACGACTTATTCTCAGTGGAGGTATCATTCCATATTTCCACGAGGGTAAGAACTTTACCTTTGTTTTCCATCCTGGTAGGTCACTGGACAGTATCCTTGGAGCTCAGCACACTTAGGGAATCGACACTTCAGCTCTGATAGTGTCAACCTTTTGGGGATCATGTCAGGAGATGGGAGTGGATAAGGTGCTAATGGAGGCACATACAGTTCTGGGTTCTCCAAGAATTTCTATTAAAAAAGAATTATAGTAGGAAGACCATTTAAAACAGGAGTCCTAAACACCGAATCAAACATCATTTGAGAATCTCCAGCCATTCTCCCCTTTTTCAGTAGCAATGTCCTGCCCTTCAAACCACATGAGAGCTCCTATCTGCACTATGATAACTTCTGCCCTGGTTGGAAGTTCCTTATAGTAATACTCGCAAGTGATCACATCTAAGGTTTCTCCCAATAAAATTCACTCATTCATTCATACAAAAAATATTTGTTGAGCCCCTACTGTGTGCCAGGCACTGGAGAATACTGGCTGGCTGGTCTTCCTGTCCTGCAGTATAACTAATTAGCTGCATGCCCTTGGCAGGTGAGTTAATTTCTCTGGCTTTGGCTAGCACTCTGTAAAATGGAGGGGATGGACGAGATACAGAGCTGTGGTGGCGCAGTGGTTAAGCATTTGGCTGCTAACCAAAAGGTCTGGCCACTGAATCCACCAGCCACTCCTTGGGGGTGGTTCCCTATGGGGCAGTTCTACTCTGTCCTATAGGGTCGCTATGAGTTGGAATTGACTCGACGGCAACGGGTTTGTTTTTTTCTGGTTTGATCCAGATACATGAATTCTCATGTCACTTGCAGTTTTAAAATTCTGTGATTACCATTTAAATAAGCAGGAAGAAATAAATGCCCCCTTAATGAAGGGATCCCTCATTCCCCCCACAAAAATCTGATCCTCCAGAGGAAAATAGGTTGTTCAGAGGCATCTGTTTAGCCTTCATTATTATTTTCAGCTGCCAACTTTTGTATATCATTGAATTATGGACATTATAGTATACGAATCTATATTCTGTTTCATTTAAACAGAAATATAAAGCACACAAGGAATTTCAGTAATAGAGAATTTTTAAGAGCACAGGAGACATATGTCAACTCTTGCTTCATTTCTACTGCCTTTGACTTCCCTTCTGCAGCCCTTGGAGAAGGTCCCCCTGAATGCCTGCCTGCAGGCTGAGCCCAAACACTCACCTCCATCAGTGGGGCTCACTGTTGGGTCTCCCTTCCTGTTAGGCTGGCCCAGGTCCGGGGCCCACCAGTGACCGTGGACTTCTGCTTTGTGGGATGCAGTCTCATGAACAATCTCTGAGTTGCCTTACTGGTCCCAGAGTTCCAGATTCTAATAATGGGACTCCTGGTCCTATCTGATGAATTCCAAGATAAGACATTTTCTTACCTCAGTAAATATTTGGAGTTAGGAACAAACTTACATTCAGTTTTTCCTGAGAATCCATTTTATAATAGTGGCCCCTGAACTCCGCTGCAAATTCCAACGACTTAGTTAGAGAGCAATCAAACAATTCGTATGATTCTGCCAGGCTGACAGGACAGAACTGTCCAAATTCTCCGAGGCGAGAAATCAGCTCTTGTGGTGTGATACATAACTTGTCAATGCAGGCAGCTTTTCCTGTTAGTAACAAATTAACTACTGTTAGTTATATATACATATAATTTTTTTTTTGTAGAAAACACAATGATTTTTAAAAATTAACAATTCAGTTACGCAAGCACTATACAAATGCATACACATTGTAAAATTCCAAAAATAGAGTAAAAAGTAAAAATTTCTATTTACATCCCCATCTTCTCATTCTAACATCCCTCCTGAGAGGTAATCACTGTTGGGTTTGTATCCTTTTCAAACTTTTTTCTTAGACATTTGCATTCATACATAGTTATTCATTCTTTACATATGAACCAAAAAAAAAAACCAAACCTGTCGCCATCGAGTCAAGTCAATTCTGACTCATAGCGACTTTATAGGACAGAGTAGATCTACCCCATAGGGTTTCCAAGGAGCAGCTGGTGGATTGGAACTGTCAGACTTTTGGTTAGAGGACAAGCTCTTAACCTCTGCACCACCAGGGCTCCATATAGGAATACAACAATGCAATGAGTATCAGAATCCTCACTGCGTTCTTCCTTGTATAACATTCTTAGTCACGTTGCTCCCTCATACCATGTTATATCTTCTCTGCAGTTTCCAAAGTCATCAAACACATGTCTGTGAGACTTCTTATAGATAACTTATTTGAAGTCATCACTCTTAGAGATGTCAGATGTAGGTAACTTCTATCTGGTTTATTTTGGGGAAACGTCAAGAAACTTTAATAGGAATATACAATCAAACATCTTCCTTCACAGATTTCAAATACAGATTAAAAGACATTTCAGTGCTGGAGTTTAGTTTTTCTGTACACTCAACATTCACATCATATCACAATGAATGTAAATTGTAATAATTTTAATTCCAGGTTCCTAAACAGAATTTTGCCATGTGTCATTCCATAGACCACTGCCCCCATACAGTTACTGCAAGCATTCCGTAAAATAGCTTCTTATGTGGAATTCCAAATACTAGAAGCTCTTCTAGGGAGAAACCATGTATAATTTTTATGTGCTAGGTTCACAAGGCATTCCATAAATGATAGCTTGTTTAGTGAGTCAGTAATTAGAACAAATAAATGTGTGCTCACAACAACTGGATAGTGCCATATATTTAAAATGGAGTCCCTGGATGGTGCAAACAGTTAATGTGATGGGCTGCTAACCAAAAGATGGGAGGTTCAAGTCCACCCAGAGGCACCTCAGAAGAAATGCCTGGTGATATACTTCTGAAAAATCAGCCATTGAAAATTCTGTGACACATATGAGGCCACCATGAGTCAGAATCGACTCAACAACAACTGGTTTGGTTTTTGGATATATTTAAAACACTGATTATGATTGTGGGAATAAATGTTCAAGCTGATCAAATTACAGTAACATGAATCAAGCATGTATAGACTTTAAATTTGTATTTTATTTCTATTTCTTACCTGATTTTATTCTTTCCAGGTACGTCTGGATACATTTATTCACCATTTGGATGTTCTTTATGACTTCATTCCATACCCACCATTTGCTGTGAAATCCATCAATCACATACCAGTTCTGATGTTGTTCTTGATAATATTGCCTAATCTCATCAACATTTTTTCGGTGCTTTGAGTTCTTGACAGCTGTAATCTGTGCACTATTGTGCAAGGGATAAGGAAAGCTAACAGAGAAACAGGGAACAAATGGAAAACGCTGTTAAAGACATGTCTTTTTTTCCTGGCTGATTAAACTTCATTTCTTTATCATTGTTTTTTATCATGTACATTACCTCTGTTCCTTTTTTTTTTCCAGGAACAATCTTTTGAAAATCTCCTTGGAAGGCACATCCAACTCAAAGATGATCATGGGAATGATTGTCCTGGCTTCCAAGAGATTCATTTGATACTGAGTTACGGGGTATCCATCGATGACAACGCTAACAAGGAGAAACTTGAAAATAAAAATTCCAGATTTCTTTTCTCTCATATCTTTCCTTCTGCCTTCCAGAAGCAGTCTCTCTCTTTCTGAGTAGCCCCCTGCCTTTCCTTATGTAACTCAATGTATCTTCTTTGCCTTTCACCCTCTTCATCTCTACATCTTTACCCTCAGTCAGCCCAAGAATCAGGAGGTGGGCAGCATATGTACAGACTCTGCTCAGAAAGTGGGGATAGGAGAGAGCTCTGAATTCGAATACTTAGACCACAGAGCTAGGTTTTAGCATAATTTGAGAGCTAACACACATAATGCCTTGAATATTCTGTTAGTCAACTGGTGCTATTATTCCAAGCATGAAACAGTGGAAAGAATATAGGCTTTAGAGGCAGATAGACCTAGATTTGAAACCTGATTTCACCTCTCTGAGCCTCAGTTTTCAGTAAGATATGGGAAATTACATGTAACCCATTTTTACTGTTGCTGTTGAGTCGATTCTAACTCATAGCGACACTATAGGACAGAGTAGAACTGCCCCATATGGTTTCCAAGGAGCGGCTGGTGAATTTGAACTGCCAGCATTTTGGTTAGCAGCCATAGCTCTTAAACACTGTGCCACCAGAGCTCCCATTTAACCCATAGAGTTGTTTTAAAGATTGGAGAGCAGGTATGTAAAGCAACTACAACTGTACCTGGAACATAGCAGCTGCTTAGTGAAGAGTCTTTTAGTAAGAAACTAAGCAAATATGGGAAAAATTATATTCTGAGCTGCTTTCATAGTAAAAGCTTTGTGAGGAGGCTGAGAGTGTGCAAGGGGAGATGAAGAGTTGGCAAGACTAGCCCTATGATATCTGAGCAAGAACCGTTTCATCAGAACCAATCATGCCTCTGAGAAGCAATGACAAAGAGGATTTAAGTTAGCAAATCCTCTGAGATAATGAGAGTCTGAAGTAATGAGATTGTCACTGTCAAACTGAGAGGAGGAATGAAGGCTGTCACCACATTCTGAGGGAGTTGCCCCAAAATCAAGCAGCTCACTTTGAGATGGGAGAGAGCCACTTGGGAACCTTGGCTGGGCATGCCGGTTGATGGTTGGTAGTCATGGCTGGTTGGAGTAATTCACAGGATACCCTCCCTCAAAGCTCTCCAGTTAAGTCCCTAGGCACTAGTCCTAAGTTTCATGGGCAGAGAGGACTGTAAACTAACATAGCTAGACTAGCCTAATAGAGAAAATATATGGGCGGGGTGTGTTGTTTTTTAGTATAGAGAAATATCAGCAAAGTCAACCATGGTGGACAGCTTTCCGCAGAGCTTCCAGATTAAGACAGGCTAGGACAAAAGGTTTCATGATCTACTTCTGAAAATTAGCCAATGAAAACCTTATGCATCACAGTAGAACAGTGTCTGACTTGCTTGCTTTGGACATGTCACCAGGAGGATTCAATGGCTGGAGAAGAACATCATGTTTAGTGAAGCAGAGAGTCAACGAGGGCAAGAAAGACCATCAGTGAGTTGGGTTGGCATACTAGCTACAATGATGGACTTGTTGCCAGGGCACTGTGGTAGTGTTAGGGTGTAATAAAACCTCTGAGACTCAACCAGGGTTGCCCTCATTGAGATCCGTATATTCAAAGCTGAGTATCAGGGAGGAGGTAACTCAATTTGCCTAAGTCCCAGAGCCCTTTGTGTGTGTGTGTGCGCACGTGCTTTAGGTGAAAGTTTACAGAGCAAATTACTTTCTCATTCATAAATTTATACACAATTTTTTTTGTGACATTGGTTGCAATCCCCGCGATGTGTCAGCACTTTCCCCTTTTCCACCCCAGGTTCCTTGTTTCCATTTGTCTAGTTTTCCTGTCCCTTCCTGCCTTCTCATCTTTGCTTTCAGGCAGGTATTGCCCATTTCTCATATACTTGATTGATCTAAGAAGCAGTTCCTCACGTGTGTTATTGTTTGTTTTATAGGCCTGTCTAATCCTTGTCTGAAAGGTGAATTTTGGGAGTGGCTTCAGTTCTGAGAAGGGTGACTGGGGGCCCTAGTCTCAGGGGTTCCTCTAGTCTCTGTCACACCAGTAAATTTGTTCTTTCTTGTGAATTTGAATTTTGTTCTACATTTTTCTCCCAATCTGTCTGAGACCCTCTATTGTGATCCCAGTCAGAGGGGTTGGTGGTGGTAGCCGGGCACTACCTAGTTCTTCTGGGCTTAACCAGAGCCTTTTCTGGTTAAAAAAATAAAATAAAATAAGTGACACTCCAGACTCTGCTCCCTCATAACTGAAATTAGAACTGTTCAAGGACTTGATTAAAAATCAGTGGCAGGGAAGGGCAAGGAGTTTCCTAATATAAAACAACCTTGAGTAAATAAGGGGATTCTAGGTCAGTTACCTGTGTTCAGAACCAAGGCCTTAGGTTTCACAGGGTGTGGCCAGTGGCTGTACCCTGGGGAGCAATGGTTGAGCACAGAAGGGAAAAGTGAAGAGACAGCTCAAGTATGTAGGTCTCTTGGCCAAAGTGACAGTAAGGGAGGAGCACTGCTACCTGTCCAGAGTAATCACCAACTTAATGTTGATATATATTATTCCCAAACATGTATTTATACTTATTTTTACATATATATGTATCCATGAACAACACCTATAATTGTTTATAGTGTTTAAAATTTTACGTTACTATCACTCAGTTTATATACTTTTGCAGGTTTTTTCAATCAGCATTCATTTAAACTGTAGAATAATTTTCCAGTGTAAATAAACAGCAGTTTATTCATTCTCCATTTGATGGAAAGTTAACAATAATTCTTTTCCCATATTATAAACAGTGCTTCAATGAGTATCCTTTTTCATGTCTCTTATGCACGTGTCAGAGTTTCTTTAATACAGAGAACTAGAATTTTCATGAGTTGAACAGAAAGACTTAAGCCTGAAGATTTAAAAGGTTCTCAACATCCCATAAATAAAAGACACCCACACCTGGTTAAATTTTCAAATAAAATACAAACACATATAAGCCAAAACAGCTCATTCCTAAAGGGAAAAAAAATTAGTGGCTTCAGATATTATCCCCTGGAACACTAGAAACCAGAAGGCAGTAAAGTAATATCCACAAAATTTTAGGGGTGTCATCAGGAGTGTCATAAGGAAAAAAAAAACAAAAAAAGAACTAAAAGAGATGGGGTAAAAATTAAAGATATATTTAAGGAACTGTATGTAGTGTACACAGAATATTCCTTTCTTTCCATCATCAACGGAACAGTTTTATAGTTAAGAGCTTGGCTGCTAACCAAAAGGTCAGTAGTTTGAATCCACCAGCCGCTCCTTGGAAACTGTATGGGGCAGCAAGCAGACGTTCTTAAAGTTCTATTCCCTGGCACCCAAAAAAACAAACCCATTGCTGTCAATTCCCACTCATAGTGACCCTATAGGATGGAGTGGAACTGCTCCATGAGGTTTCTGAGGAGCAGCTGGTGGATTTGAACTGCTGACCTTTTGGTTAGCAGCTGAGCTCTTCTTTAACACAGTACAGTGAAATTAGAAATATATGAAAAAATTAATTTATAAGGCCCTCATCTTTTTGGAAGTTTAAAAATCCACTCTCCTAAATTTGTATTTGAGGAAAAGAAAATGCAAATGACACCAATGGACTATTAAAACAAAAAACCAAACCCGTTGCCTTCTAGTCGATTCTGACTCATTGAGAATGTACATCAAAATCAATTGGGTTAAAATCACAGCTATCCGGAAAGGTGAATACACAGAGATAAATTCATAGCTTGTGAATGTCCTCATAATTGGAAATAATATATACACAAGGAATTCAAGAAGTTAGAAAAAAGTACAAAAGTCCTAAGATAAGAAGAAATAAAAGTTGAAACAAATTCAGTAAATAATAGGAAATAAAATTAAACCAGAAGAAAAGCCAAAGAAATAATAAGCAAATCCAAGAGCTGATTCTTTGCTATCCCCCCCAACAAAGACAAAGACAGAAGACTAGCAAATAGAATCCAGGAAAAAAAAAGCAAACCAATTTTATTTAAATCTAATTTAGAAATTAGAAAGAGATTATAACCACTTAAAGAGACATTTAAAAATTTAAGTAGAATATCATGTGAAACTATGTACATTTGGAAATTTTGATTTTTTTTTTTTTAATTAAGAAAGGCTTCTTTGTCCTGCAAAAGGATCACTTGAATGATCCTCAAAATTAGGCAAATGTAGGATGGATGACAGTCATTGTTTATGGCATCAGTGTTTTAAAAACCCTCTACAATTCAGTAGGAGCCCTGGTGGCCCAGTGGGTAAGCATTTGGCTGCTAACCAAAAGGTTGGCTGTTTGAATCCACCAGCTGCTCCTTGGAAACCCCATGGGGCAAGGTCTACCCTGTCCTATAGGGTTGCTATGAGTTGGAATCGACTGAACAGCAAGGGGTTTGGATTTTTTTTTGGTGACTCAATAAAGAGTCCCTGGGTGGTGCAAATGGTTAATGAGATTGGCTGCTAACAGAAAGGTGGTGGACTGAATCCACCCAGGAGTGCCTCAGAAGAAAGTTCTGGCGATCTACCTCCAAAAAATCAGCTATTGAAATCTCTATGGAGCACAGTTCTATTCTGACACACAATAGGGTCACAATATATATGCCCTTAACTCAAGAGCAACTGGTTGGTTACTGGTGACTCAATAAAAGATGTTTAATGGGGCTTTTCCTATTGCCTCAGAGTGGAGCCAAGGCCCCAAAGCTGAGGACAATGAGTGATGGTGCTAACACAGACTAAGAGGACCCCACACCACACCAGGGTTGTCTCCCTGCTCAGCCTATATGTGATGTCTGGGGATTCATTTGAGGTGGTGTTCTTTGATGGGGCTTCATAGAGGTGGTGTTTCCCTTTTCTTCCTTGTAGGGGAAAGGAGTGATTCCTCCAATGGCCAAGAGGGGGAGCCCCAAGAGAGCCTCTAGTAGGGAAGTGAGTATTTCCATTGCGTCTTGTACTGCTACCAGAGTAGAGTGCCAGAGGGTTTTGGGGAGAACCTGACAGGTGTCCGCAGGCATTTGGGGGCAAACATGAAGATCAGGCAAGTATCTGCCTCTTGCCTGGTGATGCCCGTGACAGTAGACAACCACAAAAAGGAGCCAGCAGTTGGTCAAGCAGCACTTTGACTGTATGGTGGGGCAAAGGGCTGCCATGATCCAGGTGCATGGTGCAGGGGGCAGCTGGGCTGGAGCTATCTTGCAAGACCCTGCCCAGGAGGGCTGATGCTGGGCACTTAAAGTCTGCCATCACAACAGACATTTAGTAGCCAAGCTACTTAAAAGAGCCTTCACCCTTTCCCATCTCACGTCTCCGTTCCCTACCCAATTGTGGAGTAGCCATTGTCCTGGCTTTGGTTTTCTATCCATAGTCAGAGAAAAATGGAGCTCTACTAAGTAGCTTGTCTCTCAGTTCGTTCAAGAGCAAAAAAACCCTATATTCTATTGTTTAAGGGCAAGGAACTGACCTGCAATACATACATAAAATGATCTTTGATTTTAAAATATTGGCATGAAATTTCCAAAACTGCATGATTTCCAAAATTTTGCCTAGTGACCAATTTCTTGAAAGACTTAACTCCTCTCTCCCCTGCCCCAGCCCCACTCACTTACCCTGCAGTATTGCTTGCACTGTCCATCAGGCATATTTCTAAGGCTTGCATAGCCAGTTCATCAGGTGCTGTCATTCCTTTATGAAGATGCCAATTTAACATAAGTGCCAGCTCTGTTCCTGGCTGGTTGTTTAATACATAACGTAAAGCATCTCCTATTGATAAGCGCTTTAAGCCATATTCACTTGCAATTTTTTTGGCAACTGAAAAACATGAAAATTTTGAAAATATTTCATTTCACAAATTCATCAGTTAACCTCAGTTTCAGACTCTAGTTAATGACAGTAACAGTAAGCTAATTTCACATTCCTCAAAGAAATTTTTAAAATTAAAATTGCCACATTTTACTGAATTAATGCTGTTAGAGTCAATCATTATTAATACTTCAGGTATGTGATTGATGGATCTGGTTAATGAGTCAACTCTGGTTTTTTCTTAAAACTAAATCAACTTTAAGTGTTTTCTTTTGCACAAAGTAGCAATATTTTTGAGGTTATTGCAAGGCATCCAGTATGTACTAACATTTGGTATTATGTTTAAAATAACCATGTAATATTCCTGTTTCAGTGCATTGTACCTATCTGTCCATTTACATACATGATGCTGCAATCAGGACAGCATAGTCAGCTCTGTCTCATGGTGACCCCATGTACAACAGAACAAAACATTGCCTGGTCCTGTGCCATCTATTGGACAATATTCTGTTGCAATCCATAGGGTTTTCATTGGCTTATTTTTGGAAGTAATTGCTAAGCCTTTCTTCCTAGTCTGTCTTGGTCTAGAAGCTCTGCTAAAACCTGTCCACCACGAGTAACCCTGCTGGTATTTGAAATATTGGTGGCATAGCTTTCAGCATCACACCAGTATGATGTATGGATGACACACGACAGATGGGTGGTGGACCTATATAGTTAGGTTTCAGTTAATCCTCTAAGAGATACTTAAAAAAAATTATAATGGCATACCTGACATTTTTATAGTGATTTACAGCTTATGAGGCCAATTTTCTTCCGTAACCTTATTTGGTATTTCCAACTATTCCATCAGATGGCTGAAACAGATATTGAAACTCCTATTTTATAGAGGAGTGAACTGAAGCCCACTAAAATGGAATGATTTGTCCAAGGTCACATTGATGGTGCATGTTATGGATTGAATTATATTCCCCCCCCAAAATATGTGTTTAAATCCTAATCTCTATGATTGTGGTTATAATCCCATTTGGGAATGGGTTGTCTTTGTTATGTTAATGAAGCAGGATTAGAGTAGGGTGTATCCTGAGTCAATCTATTTTGAGATATAAAAGAGATTAAACAAGCAAGCGAAAGAAGCAGAGAAGGGGGAAGAGAGATGCCAAGCAACATGAAGATTGCCCAGGAGCAGAAGCTCAGAAGAGACAAAGACCTTCCTCCAAGCCGACAGAGAAAGCCTTCCTCTAGAGCTGGCATCCTGAATTCAGACTTCTGGCCCCTAAACTGTGAAAAAATAAATTTCTTTTTGTTAAAGCTCACTTGTGGTATTTCTGTTATACCAGCACTAGATAACAAAGACAGCGCCATTGGCTGAAACAGGGCTCATATTGGTTTCTACTTCCCCTACGTGAGACCCGAAGCAATGGCGTCTAGTAATTATTAAATGTGGCCATGCTCTGTCATGTGTGGTTTATGAGAACTGCCTGGAGACAGCAGTGCGGAGAGGACATACATGGGAGCCCATCCTGTCCCACGGAGAATGTGGACTAACTGACCTGGGACCACAGTCAGGGCCGCCCAAAGGGGAAGCCCCTATGATAGCCACAGGGCCCTTAACCTCAGCTTTGCCACAAACTATGGGATCAGACCTATATTTTTAAAGTTCTAAAAATAATTAAGCTTTTGAAATGTGACATCTAATTAAAAAAAATAACTTCTTATTTCTACAAAGAATGAGAAATCAGATTGCCTTGTCTCTATTTTCACCTTTTGCTCTGGATGTGGGATTTTATTTCGAATGTCAATGTTCCACTCTCCTTGGGAAATATGAATATTTAGAAATGTACAATTTAGAAATTGCGAACATTTAGAATACAACTATTAAAGGCCCTTTTGTCATGGTAAACATTTTATTTATTTTTTTAGTTTACTTTTTTTTTAATTTATTGCATGGTAAACATTTTAAATGGACAAAACAAATTTTTCCCTCTTTTCAGCTAAAGAGCTGGAACACAAAACTCCCCCTATTATTCCTGGTGACAAGTTAATCTCTGACATTATTTCTCCTCTTCCTTTTCTATTCAGTCAGTCATTAAATCCTATTGTTTTTTTCTTTGAAAGAGCTTGTTTATTTGTCCTTTCTCTTGTATTCTCATTGCACGACCAACCACTGTTCACATTGTTCTCATGCCATCTTGAAAAACTACAACCAGACTATTGTTAGACTATTTGCCTTTAAAAAAAAAAAAAACACACACAATCTAAAGTTATACAAAATTCAAACATTATAGGAATACAGTTTATCAAATGCATTTTCCAGCAATGATTAATCATTGCTTTTTATCCTTTCATCTATTAACATACTAGGTTCTATTAATATACTCTTTTAATATAATTTATTATACAAATATATTTTAATATATTACAGTCAATTTTCTAATATTTTATTTAGATATTTGATTCTATATTTATAAGTGATATTAAGTTTTAATTTCTTGTACTACCTTCATTAGATTTTGGTATCAGGGCTAGGTTAATTTAAAAAGAACTTGTATTCTCTTATACCTTTTTGATTATATGGACTATATTTCTTAATAAAAAATAAAAATAAATTGGGAAGCTTCCTGTGTTTTTCAGTGCTCTGGAAAAAGCTTACAGAAACATAGAAATTATCTCTTCTTTGAAAGTTTGATACAAGTTTCTTCTAAAACCATTTGATCCTGGGGTGTTTAGGAGTGGGGTCACACTTTTCAATGCCTTTTCTTCAGTGTTATTGGTATATTTACATTTTCTGTCTCTTTTTGAGTCAATTTTGATAGTTGGTTTCCTGGAGAAGTGGCAAGACTTTTCACTGTTTTAAGCATCCACAAGCATAATAGTTTATGCTTGAGGAAAATGAAGGCAAACACACCCTCACCTGTCGTTTTCCCAGATTTTGGAGGCCCCACAACTGCAATCCTAATAGGCATCGTTGGCCTAGGTTTGGGCTGGCGGATATATTTGATTGGATTCTTCATAAATTTTTCTTTACTTTCCTTACTAGATAAAAAGTAAATATACTGACGATGGATTACAGGATAACTTGGATTCTCTGGGCTTTCAAATGGCTTGATTGTCTCTCCTTCACTTAGCTGCAATATATACACAATTGAATTCATAAGTTAGTTTTCATTTATACAGCATTTTCCCCAAATACATTTAAAAAAATTTGTTAAGTTAAAAAAAAATTTCTTACAGAATAAGAAAAGTAATTATAATAAAATATTACAGAACTGTAAAAAGTACAACCTATTTTATACCCACATCAATCAATTTACTCTTTCTCAATGGGCTTTCAGTTTATGACAGTTAAGGAGCCCTGGTGATGCAGTGGTTAAGCGCTTGGCTGCTAACCAAAAGGTCGGCAGTTTAAACCCACCAACTACTCCTCAGGAGAAAGGTGTGGCAATCTGGTTCCGTATTACAGCCTTAGAAACCCTATGGGGAAGTTCCACTCTGTCCTACAGGGTTGCTATGAGTCAGAATTGACTCGATGGCAGTGTTGTTGTTGTTTTTTTTTTAATATGTAACTGGCATAAAACCGTTGCCATCCAGTCAATTCTGACTCATAGTGACCCTATAGAACAGAGGGAACCTCACAAGGTTTCCAAGGCTGTAATCTTTATGGAAGCAGACTGTCACATCTTTCTATCACAGAGCAGCTGGAGGGTTCAAACCACCGACCTCTCAGTTAGCAGCCCAGCGCTTAACCACTTCGCCACCAGGGCTTCTCTTCAGGAGGCTAGAAGTCCAAATTCAGGATGTGGCTCTAGGGGGTGGTCCTTCCTTGTCTATTTCAGCTTCTAGTAGCTGGCAATCCTTGGAGTTCCAGGGCTTGTAGATTCATCTGTCTCTGTAGTCATCAGATAGAGTCTGTCTTTCCTTCTGTATGTGCTTCCTTCTGTATCTGCTTTTTTATAACTCAGAAGTAGTTAGGTTTAGGACACGTCTTACACTGATATGACCCCATTAACATAATAAAGAAAACCCATTCCCCAATGGGATTTCATCCACAGGTATTTAAAAACAAACAAATAAACAAACCCCTTGCCAATGAGTTGATTTCGACTCATAGTGACCCTATAGGACAGAGTACAACTGCCACATAGGGTTTCCAAGGAGCAGCTGGTGGATTCAAACTGCCAACCTTTTGGTTAGCAGCTGAGCTCTTAACCACTGCACCAACAGGGATCCTTCACAGGTACAGGGGTTAGGATACCAACACATATTTTGGGAGGACACAATTCAATCCCTAACAATTCCTCAGGTGGGGATCTTTTGGGGTATACTAGCAAGGAAAATCCCACTGAGTTATCTTACACATTTTTATACAGATGAAATCATATTCCCATAAACATTAAGAGAAGCCAGGAAAGGGAACGACACTAACAAAAGGCAGCCTAAGGTGTAGTATGGAATGGGGTGGTCCCACATCTGTGCATTGGTGATGATGAGGATGGCGTTATTAACTGCTGCTAGGGTTTCGTATCTTTTTTATAGCATCAGATGGCAAGCATCAGCCATCCCTGGACTTGACAGAGTAGGTGTGGAATAGTGGGTTATTAGTGCTCCTCCCCCAGAGCTACTATGAGTCAGAATTGACTGGACAGCAGCTGGTTTAGTTTTGGTTTTTCCAGAGCTACAGTTGCCACAGGTCAATGGCGTCGTCAACATCATCATCCATCCATGGCTGGGACTGAATGCTAAGCAGAATGGTAAGTAGAAATTCAGGAGTACTGTGGGAGTGACTGCTGTATGCTATACACTTGGTAATAAAAGAAAAGCTGAAAGTTTAGTGATTCCGTTTCAAATTCCCTAGTTAAGTGTAAATCCTTTCAGCTGTTTCTGCTGTTGCCAAAAATACTTAGCATGTATCCTTGCACCTCTGTAGGTCAGAATGCCATGGTGTCGTCAAATTAGCAATATCAAATTGTCATACAACCAGCAAGATTTCCAACAGCCCTGATAAATGTCTATTTATATGCTTAAACCCTCCCTATGACCATGCACTCATTTCTCCACAGGCATTTTTGTGAAAATTCTAATTGTGTTTGGATCTGAGCCCTTCTTTCTCCCTAAACAGGACTCTGATTTTGCCTGCTTAGTTCTTGCCCTTTCTTGCCCATTTCAGAGAAGGTTAGGGCATGGCTATTTTTCAAAGACTTTTCAAATGATTCTGATACATGCTTAACTCTATCCAATTTTCTTTGGAGAGAACTATCATAGTGTTTCTATATTTCAGCATGATATTTTGAGAGGTTTCTCTTGATATCCTATGGTTAAGATAAAAAATATGATAACACAATTAAGTAGAATTGAAACCCACTGTCTCAATATCAACCAGACAGGAGGTTTTAGGTAACATGCACATGAATCCATTCTTGAACCTATCCTCCAAAATATTTTATCAGTGACCAACAATAGTAATATACATTAATAATAGCAACAACACATATTGAGAACTTACAAACAGCCAAGCACTGTTGCAAGACTTTGCACCATTTAACTCATTTAATCCTTGTTAACAATATTGTAAGGTAGGAACTATTCTTATTTTCCCATTTCAAAAATGGCATTGGATCATAGGGGTTAAGCGATTTTTCCAAGGTCGCTTAGTTAGTATGGCATGGTTTTGAACTTAGGCAGTCTGGCTCCAGAGGCCATGGTCTTATCTACTGTGCATCCCAGAATGTACACTGGTCTAGTGAGCAGGTCACATGCAGCTGGGAGATGTGGCTAATCATGGCCTCTAAAGTTTTCTATTATGTTGGAATGACAGTGGGGAAAAAAACTCCAACTTCACAAACACAGATAAGAGAGATGTGTTGTGTGAAAAACGAGCTACGGATCTTAGCTTCTTCAAAGTGCAGTGTAAGTCTACAGTGGGGCATGCCTGACAATAAATGAATTCTATCTGTGGTGCTTTTAAAATATGACCACAAATTCTCCTCCCTTCAAGAGGTAGAAACTAATTCTCCTCCCCTCAAGTGTGTGCTGAACTTAGTGACTCACTTCTAACAAACAGATTAAAGTAGAAATGACAGTGTGCAAACTTGGAGACTAGGTCACAAAAGATACTATAAATTCTTTCTCTTGGATTGTTCACTCTGGGGGATGTTAGTGGCCATGTTGTGAGGACTCTCAAGCAGCTTATGGAGAGGCCCACATGGTGAGGAATTACGGTCTCCTGCTAATAGCCAATGAGGAACTGAGGGCTCCTGCCAACACCTATATTAGTGAGTCATCTTGGAAGCAGATCCTCCAACCTCAGTCAAGCTTTCAGATAACTGCAGCCTCTCTGGCATCTCAATTACAGCTACATGGGAGATCATGGGCTAGACTCTCTCAGCTGAATCACTCACAAATTCCTGATCCACAGAAAATGTGAGATAATGTATGCTGTTTTAAGCTAAGTTTTTTATTAATTTGTTATGCAACCATAGATAACTAATACTGTATCTTAGGCTACATTAAAAATTACAGCATTCAGACTAAAATCGATGGTCATACCAGCTCTACTGTGAGTGCCTAAGGCCATCTAGAAAAATGTGTTCAGTTCTACCTCCATTTTCAGGGGTACAGACCAATTGCAGTGATTTCAGGAGAGAAAAGACTAGGATTTTTGGAGACTTGAAGCCATGTTACATGAGGAACAATGGTAGGAACTGGGGATTTTTTTTTTGAAGAATTGAAAACTAAAAGGAGATATGAAAGTTGTTTTTAAGTATCTAAAAATGTTCATGTGGAGGAAGTTTAATGTGTTCCTTCTATATTTAGGAAGTAGACATTAAAGTGGAATTTAAAAGGGCAGAACTTATACTAAATGAAAGAAAAAAATTTTAAGTGATAGAGCTGTTAGAAGATTGGATGGGCAGCACCTTGAGGAGTGAATATCAGTTAAAAGTTGTGAAATGACTCAGGCTTGGATTGGGTGGTGGGCCTAAGTGACCTGAGAGTTCCTTAAAAGTCTGAGATCCCATTCTTATAACTGTGCATTCTTTCCTACCTGTTGTAGTTAGGTGCTGTCAAATCAATTATGACTCACAGCAACCCCATGTGACAGAGTAGAACTACCCCATAGGGTTTTCTTGTCTGTAATCTTTATGGAAGCAGATTGCCAGGTCCTTCTCCCGCAGAGCTGCTGGGTGGGTTCGAACTGTCAACCTTTTGGTTACCAGCCAACTGCATAACTGTTGTGCTACCCTTTTCTATCTAGCAGAAGTAAATTCTAAATAACATATTGTCACTCCCCCATTCTCAACCTTCCAGTGGCATCCCACTGCCCTTCAAAGAAAATCCAAAGTCATTATGTTGGTGTCCCATTGCACTTAGCTTATTCTGTGTATGTGATTTAAACCTGGCTTCTCTCTTCAACAAGGAGCCCTAGTGGCACAATAGGTTAAAATGCTCGGCCACTAACTGAAAGGTCAGCAGTTCGAACCCATCAGCCATTCCACCAGAGAAAGATGTGGTGGTCTGCTTCTGTAAAGATTTGTAGCCTTGGAAACCCTATGGGGCAGTTCTACTCTGCCCTGTAGTGTCGAAATGAGTTAGAATCTACTCAGTGGCAGTGGGTTTGGTTTAGGTTTGGTTTCTCTCTTCAATATCCTCTCATACCACACTCCTCCCCACTCATTAAACTCCACCTGCACTGGCCTTCTTTCTGTCCCTCAAACATGAGAAACTTATTATTGCATTAAAGCTTTTACACTTACTGCTCACTATGCTTGCATGGCTCCTTCTTGTCATTTAGGTTTCTCATCTAAAGTAGCTTCTGCCCCCAGTCATCATATTAATCAAAGCCAGTTGTTGTTGCGTTGATTCTGACTCATGGCGACCCCATGTGTGTCAGAGTAGGACTGTGCTCCATAGTGTTTTCAATGGCTGATTTTTTTGGAAGTAGATCACCAGGCTTTTCTTCCTAGGTGCCTCTGGGTAGACTCGAACCTCCAAACTTTTGGTTAGCAGCCAAGCACATTAACCATTTGCACCACGCAGGGCTCCAACATTACACTTTCATTGTCTTTATAGCACTTAGCACTATCTGACACGATTGTATTTATTTATTTATGTCTTACCTATCCTCCCTCCCCAACCTAACTGAACTGCCAGAAGTTCAAGCCAGATTTAGAAGAGGACATGGAACCACGGATATCACTGGGATGTCAGATGGATCCTGGCTGAAAGCAGAGAATACCAGAAAGATGTTTACCTGTGTTTTATTGACTATGCAAAGGCATGCCACTGTGTGGATCATAACAAGTTATGGATAACATTGCTGAGAATGGGAATTCCGGAACACGTAATTGTGCTCAGGTAGAATCTGTACATGGATCAAAAAGCCCTCGTTCGAACAGAACAAGAAGATACTGCATGGTTTAAAGTCAGGAAAGGTGTGCATCAGGGTTGTATCCTTTCACTATACCTATTCAATCTGTAGGCTGAGCAAATAATCCAAGAAGCTAGACTATATGAAGAAGAACAGGGCAGCAGGATTGGAGGAAGACTCATTAACAACCTGCATTATGCAGATGACACAACCTTGCTTGTTGAAAGTGAAGAAGACTTGAAGCACTTACTGATGAAGATCAAAGACTACAGACTTCAGCATGGATTACACCTCAACATAAAGAAAACAAAAATCCTCGTAACTGGACCAATAAGCAATATCATGATAAACAGAGAAAAGATTGAGGTTGTCAAGGATTTAATTTTACTTGGATTTATAACCAACACCCATGGAAGCAGCAGTCAAGAAATCAAAAGACGCACTGCAGTGAGCAAATCGGCTGCTAAAGGCCTCTTTAAAGTGTTGAAAAGCAAAGATGTCACCTTGAGGACTAAGGTGCACCTGACTCAAGCCATGGTGTTTTCAGTAGCTTCACATGCATGCGAAAGCTGGACAACAAATAGAGAAGACCGAAGAAGAATTGATGCCTTTAAATTGTGGTGTTGGTGAAGAATATTGAATATACCATGGACTGCCAAAAGAACAAACAAATCCTCAGAAGCAAGGATGGCAACACTACATCTCACATACTTTGGACATGTTATCAGGAAGGATCAGTCTCTGGAGAAGGACATCATGTTTGGTAAAGTAGAGGGTCAGCAAAAAAGAGGAAGACCCTCAACAAGATGGACTGACACAGTGGCTGCTACAATGGGCTCAAGCATAGCAAGGATTGTGAGGATGGAGCAGGACCGGGCAGTGTTTCGTTCTGTTGTGCATAGGGTCACTATGAGCCGGAACCGACTCAATGGCACCTAACGACAACAACATGATAATAGGAACTTTACCCGTTTTGTTCACTACTTATCCTCCAGAGGCTAAAACAGTGACTGACATGTTCTTAAGATTTGCTGAAAAACATCCTACATTTGAAGTTACTGAATTTCACTGGGATTAAATCTGTTTGTTGACACTGCATACAATGATTGTGAGGATGGCGTAGGACTGGGGCAGTGTTTCATTCTGTTGTACATAGGATCACTATGAGTCAGAACACACCTGACAACACCTAACAAAATAATATTGTTTTTTGGCACAGTACTTAGAAATGAGTTTGTTATGAGCATTAACGGTTAATAACACTATTTTGTATGGTATTTCAAACTTTTCAGAGGGCTTTATCGCTCCTGCATTTGATCACAAAGATCTGGTAGCAATATTCTTCCATCGTAACCGTGAGGAAGTAGAATTAAAGAGGCTAAATGACTTGCCTAAAATTAGGCAGCAAGGTAGTGGTAGATCACTAGTTTAATAATATTTCCGCTACTACAAAGGTAAAACCAAGTTGGAATTAGGTTATTGCTGTAGAAATAGATGAAAGAAATTAAATCCTTCAACTACTTTTTCCACATCAGAAAGGCAAAACAACCAAATATTTTTATAGCTAGTTAATACTGTACAATGCTTGCAATTTTTGATATTATCCACTGTCTTTTTCCTAGAATACTTTAAAAAAAAAAAAAAAGAAGTACAGAAACAGCATGGCTTTCAGATCCATTTGCTGACATTACCTTTACAGGGTCCCAATATCCAAAAGAGCTTAGGTATTTGTAGGTAAAGCTGAGCATTTTCTGGGCAAGATGTGGTGGTATTGCATAACATTTCTCAAAAATGCTTGCACGATTTTCCACCAGTGGCTTCACTTTGGAATTCAATGTATATTGTACGATGTGGGTTTTCCGAGCTCCATTAATGTGAATTATTGGTATCAAAAACTTCTCAAATTCATCCTGGGCAGTAAAAGCATAAAATCAAATATATCCAGTGAGGAAAAGGCTGGTAGTATTCAGTCACACAGCACACAGACACAGATAGTGACTGACTACCTCAGTTTGCTGTGTGCCTTGGAGTCGATTCCAACTCACTGTGACCCTATGGGACAGAGTACAGCTGCCCCCACAGGGTTTCCTAGGCTGTAATCTTTATGGGAGCACATCGCCAGGTCTTTTCTTCTGTGGAGCAGCTGGTGGGTTTGAACTGCCAATCTTTTGGTTAGCAGCTGAGCACTTTAACCATGATACCACCAGGGCTCCTACCTCAGTCTAAAGAACAAATGTTTTTCAGCTTCTGAGTGGCTGCATGCTGGCAGCCCAAACCTCTGACCCTGTGGTTTCCAGGTTGCTTTGATTTATAAATTTGTTTTCATAATTATAAGTGGTGCTGACAAAAGGAAATACAGCTCTAAAATATATTTGTTTTGAAACGTTAAAAAAAAAACTAAGGTATGAACCAAATTGTTTTTGTTTCATTTTCAAATGTTATGTTTTAAAAATAATATTTTATTGTGTTTTAGGTGAAAGTGTACACAGCAAATTAAGTTCCCCTTCAACAATTTTTATTCCAATTGTTCCGTGCCATTGGTTACAAGTTCTACAATGTGTCAGCATTCTCATTATTTCCATTCTGTTTGTTCCGTTTCCACTGATCTAGCTTTGCTTCCCCTCCTTACCTTCTCATGTTTGTATCTGGGTAAATGTTGACTATCTGGTCTCATACAGTTAATTGTTTAAGGGAGCACATTACTCACCAGTGATACTGTTTATTTTATAAACCAATCTATTATTTGGTGGAAAGGTGACCTCCAGAAATAGCTTCAATTCCAAGTTCAAAGGGTATCTTAAGGTGATACTCTCCAGGACTCCTGTAGTCTCTTCTCTATTGGTCCAGTAGATCTGGCTTTTTTTTTTTTTTTTTAGGAATTTTAGTTTTGTTCTCCATTTTTGACCCATTCTATCTGGGACCTTCTACTGTGTCCCTGGTCAGAATGGTCAGAAACGTAGTTAGGCACTATCTAGTTCTTCTGGTCACAGGTTAGAAAAGGTTGTGGTTCGTGTGGGCTATCATGGACTAATTTCTTCTTTGAACCTTTGATTTCCTTCATTCTCTTTTGCTTCATACGAGTGGAGACCAACAGCTGTATCTTAGATGGCCACTAGCAAGCTTTTAATACCCCAGACACTCCTCACCAAACTCGGATGTAGACCATTATCTTTGTGAACTATATTATGCCAATTGACTAAGTTGTTCCCCGAGACTATGGTCCCAAGCTTTTTGACCCAGTAAACCAATCCCATGAGTTATTTGGATATGTCTAGGAAGCCTCCATAACTGTGCCCCTGTGTGGTTTGTTATATATGTGGATATACATTCAGCATACACAAACGTGTGTACGCATATGCCTACAGATACACCTCCACATGTACCTGTATTTACTTCCATATATCTTCCTATATACATGTATGCATCCATGTCCATCTATGTAACCACACACATATCACACGTTACTGTTTTTATTGTGGTGAAAATTAAATGTTACTTTTTTGAATTATGAAAAGTAATGAAGGAAAAGTAGTAACCTGTATTATTTGTAAATTATTCATATCTGCTTCAAATTTTTCTCCCACTTCACTTCTCAGGTGTTCAATGGCATCAATTTCCTGTTCTTCATCTTCCTCACTCATCTCTTCCTCTTCTTTTGGAAACTCTTCTTCGAGGATGTTGTCAATATTATCATCTTCCTCTTCTTCAGGCTCTTCCTCACTAATAATATCTTCATCTTCTTTAACAGCAACCTGAGGAAGAAAGGATTATCTTTTGCTATATGTATGAAATGTGTAATGAACAACATTATTAACTAATCATCTGCAATATTTTGTAATAACTGGATGTTGGCTGGTATGGCATGGCAAAGTGCATTTAGTAACACAGTAAAAATTTAAGTATCTGGTGCTCAGAAATTTAAGACCTTCAAGAGTTTGACGCCATAGTGGTCTCATAAATAGACAAAGATGTTCAATGCTATATGTTTATCGTTGTTAGAATGTTACATGTTTTTGATGGTCTTCAGTAACAATATTTAATGCAATTCAAAGAGTATTAAACACTCACTAACTTTGTTAACTTGAACAAGATCAGTTTCCTCATGTTTAAATAAAATAGGAATAATAAAAGTACCTACCTAATATGGGATATAAGATCAAAAGAGGCCTCTGACCTAAAATAAAATGGCTGAACTAATGCTAAGCTTAGTGTAACTTTTCACACAGATTCAAACCCAGTGCTCAGAAACCAACTCTATTATTAAGGCTTTGTGGTTAGGCCAAGATTTTAAATCAGTAACCAAACCTTATGGAAAACTCTTTGTGTTAGATCTCCCCAGAAGATCTTATGTTCTGGGCAAGGTAATGTTTAATAACCTGTTGCCAACAGTATTGTAATGCCAACATCATGCCCTTGTTCTGTGAAGGTCATGAGACCCCACCTCCATCACCAGAGGCCCCACAATTATGTCCTTTAGCCAATCAATGTTATTCCAGCTGTATTAATGTAACCAGTAATGTTAAAAATCTCATTTTGCTTTGTCCCACCTTTGATTGACCTCAGTCACTGTAAGCCAATCAGAATATTGTGTTTTTTCGTTTCTCCTATGGTATTATAACTACGTGGGATTTGTACCCCCCTCTGTGGGATCCGTGAGCTTCAAACCTCTGAGGTTTTCAAGATCCCCATTCAAATGATATATTGGCTTCGATAAATATTTTGATTTTACTTTAATAGAGTTAGAGAGTCTTTTCTCTACAACATACCCCACAGGGTTTTTTGCGACTATTAAATTAGAACATACAGTGAAAAAGCTTAGAACTGTGTAATAATGGCGTGGCGTCTGACCTCCTGTATCTTCAAGGGAGGGAGAGAGAATTATAATCGGCATCAACAGCCCCAGGCCAACTCCTATGAGGCTGAGGTCAGACTTGCCTCCACCATCCAACCTTTTTACCAATTCTGACACCAACTGTCCCTCCCACAACTATCTCTGTTGGGTTTGTTAATTCACTGTAATGGCCACACAGAACTCACAGACCATATTCACAATTATGGGGCTTATTAGGGAAGTAATAGGCTACAATTCAGGTTCAGGAGTGCTCAGGATACAGTCCTTCAATCAGGACAGCCTCTTCTCAGCTGTGCCGCAGGTAGGCCTCTTCCTGGCCTGTCAGCCTCTGCCCTGCTCCGGCAAGTGTTACAAAGTTCTTTTAGCTCCATCAGCAAGTGCCCCGAGGCACCCTACTCCACCAGCAAGCCTCCGCCCAAAGGTGCTCATTTCCCTTACTCTGTGGGGCAGGGAGCCCACTGTGCCAACTCCTGCTGGTCTCCGGGTTCTGCTGCCTCTGCTGCTGCCATTTCTCTGCTGCTGCTTCTCTATGATGTCACGGCTCTCCCTCTCTGTCCTGGTTCTGCTGCCTCTCTCTGTCTTCCGTGTTATAGCTCCTCTCTGTGTCTCCTGGGTCTAGGAGGGTCTCAGCATAGGGGTCCTGTCGTAGGGGGTCACTACGAGTCGGAATTGACTCAATGGCAGCGGGTTTGGGTTTTTGGTTTTGCACTGGCTCCACACTCTTCTCCCTGTCTCAGTTGGAGCACTGCCATCCAGTCAGAAACCTGGGAGTCATCTTGACCCTATCCAATCTGTTACCAAGTACTGTACTCCTAAACCAAAACCAAACCCTTTGCCGTCTAGTTGATTCCAACTCATAGTTGACTCAGAGTAGAACTGCCCCATAGGGTTTCCAAGGAGTGGCTGGTGGATTCAAACTGCTGACCTTTTGGTTAGCAGCCCAGCTGTTAACCACTGCTCCACCAGGGCTCCCTGCACTCCTAAGTAACTCTCAAATCTCCCTCCTCTCTAGCCCCACTGCACTGTTCGCTATCTCATGATCTAGAATTCCTGCAATCTCCTGATTAGCTTGCTATTTCCTAATCTTTCTATACTCAAATCCTTGTTCCTTTAAAAGGCACCTGGAGCTGGGATTTGGGCCTCTGGGTGGAGGGAGGAAGATAAGAGCATAAGGGCTCATTCCTTCCTGTTCCTTGCTCAGGCTCCTCTCTACCTAAAAGGAGGTTTGGCTATAGGGATCTGTTTCTCAATTCTTGTTCTTGTTTTCATGTTAATTTTGAAACAATTTAGTCCCCTGGGCACCAGAGAAGGAGCCAGTGAGCGAGGAGGGAGTAAAGAATATATAGAGAGGAATAAGAGCAGAAGCAAGGCCTCTGAAGAGCTGGGAGGTATGAAGTATAAATCTCCATACGAAGGGGCTGGCTTACAGAACGTTGTTTAGTCACATCATGAGACAAAAATTCCACATGATGGTGATGTTTTCCTATGAAATTAATCAAAGTAGTCACATTGGTACCTTGAAGTGATTTCTAATGTTAAAACGTTTTATATGCTGCTAAGAAGTCAGACAGTAGAGGCACTGAGTTTTGTCGAGGGCAAGAAACCACACCCGGAAAGGGCTATAGCAGCATGTGAGTCCCCAGTTAGTTTTAAAAAGTCAAGTCATGTAGCAGCATATTCTATGCAAAGAGGCAAGTGATGAGAAAGCGTCTGGATCTGTTCATGATAGCAAGCTCCAGGGCATATATCTGGAGTAAGGATGGATTCAGATCCAGATGTCACATTAGCTGATAATAATCACACTAAGTGATCCCAGAGTGTTTTACTAGTAGTAGCACAGCATATTTTATAAAATTTCCATCAAAGGAGTTGAAAAAAATCCATACACAATTGTAACCTTTAATTAATCAAAAATCTCAGAAGTTGTGCTCCAAAAGCTCCTTTGTGTAATCTAATTGTACGGGTTAAGCACTTGGCTGCTAACCAAAAAGTCGGTGGTTCAAACCCACCAGCCAATCTGTGGGAGAAAGATGTGGCAGTCAGCTTCCATAAAGATTTACAGCCTTGGAAACCTACGGGGCAGTTCTACTCTGTCCTATAGGCTTGCTATGAGTTGGAATCCACTTGACAGCAATGGGGTTTTTTTTTTTTTTTTTTGGTTTTTAATTTTATGGGATACACAGCCAATTTTATAAAAGATTAAGTCCTAGGCTAGCTATCTTACAAAATCATATTTAACTTGTAAGATAGAATATTGAATCTCTGCATTAAAACATTATAAGAAAACACATCATTCTAATGTTGGCAAATGGAAAAATTATAAATCAAGAACATTTTTAATTGATCCTGAAAACTAATTCTTAAGAAAAAGTAGATTTAATTAAAGCATAGCAAAGAATAAAAATTAAAGTATTATTAGTTAGGGAATTAGGAATTATTAATTTTTCCCATTTTACAATGAAAAAGCATAGGCTCAAAGAGGTTTAAGTAACTTACTCAATATTGTACTAAAGCACCAAAACACTACTACTTGTCTGTCAGTTTGTCATACTGTGGTGGCTTTCGTGTTGCTGTGATGCTGGAAGCTTTGCCACCAGTATTTCAAATATCAGCAAAGGCCATCCTTGGTGGACAGGTTCCAGTGGAGCTTCCAGACTAAGACAGACTAGGAAGAAGGGCCTGGTGGTCTACTTATGAAAAAATTATCGAACAATATAATTATTACACAGATGTAAAATTTTGCTGAAGATCATTCAAAAGCAGTTGCAGCAGTACATCAACAGGGAACTGACAGAAAATCAAGCTGGATTCAGAAGGGGATGTGGAATGACAGATATCATTGCTCATGTCAGAGAGATCTTGGCTGAAAGCAGAGAATATCAGAAAGACGTTTACTTGTGTTTTATTGACTACGCAAAGGCATTCGACTGTGTGGATCATAAACAGTGGATAATATTGCGAAGAATGGGAATTTCAGAACACTTAATAGTACAAGAAGCTGGACTACGTGAAGAAGAATGGGGGCAAAAAACAAAACAAGACTAATGGGGCACAACAGTCCAGTGACAAGGATTAGAAGGCAGGAGGGGACAGGAAAGCTGCTAATAGGAAACCCAAGGTTGAGAAAGGACAGTGTTGACGTTTTGTGGGGTTGTTAACCATTGTCATAAAACATTATGTTACTGTTTAATGAGAAACTATTTGTTCTGTAAACCTTCATCAAAAGTACAATAAAAAAAAGAAGAAGAATGGGGCAGCAGGATTGGAAGAAGACTCATTAACAACCTGCTTTATGATGATGACACAACCTTGCTTGCGGAAAGTGAAGAGGGCTTGAAGCACTTACTGATGAAGACCGAAGACCACAGCCTTCAATATAGATTATACCTAAACATAAAGAAAACAAAAATCTTCACAACTGGACCAATAAGCAGCATCATGATAAACGGGGAAAAGATTGAAGTTATCAAGGATTTCATTTTACTTGGATCCACAATCAACACCCATGGAAGCAGCAGTCAAGAAATCAAAAGACACATTGCACTGGGCAAATCAGCTGCAAAAGACCTCTTTAAAGTGTTGAAAACAAAGATGTCACCTTGAGGACTAAGGTGTGCCTGACCCAAGCCATAGTGTTTTCAACCACCTTATATGCATGCGAAAGCTGGACAATTAATAAGAAAGACTGAAGAAGAATTGACGCCTTTGAATTGTGGTGTTAGGGAAGAATATTGATTATACGGTGGACTGCCAAAAGAATGAACAGGTCTGTCTTGGAAGAAGTACAACCAGAATGCTCCTTAGAAGCAAGGATGGTGAGACTATGTCTCACATACTTTGGACATGTTATCAGGAGAGATCAGTCCCTGGAGAAGGACATCATGCTTGAAGTGGAGGGTCAGTGAAAAAGAGGAAGACCCTCAACAAGATGGATTGACACAATGGCTGCAACAATGGGCTCAAGCATAACAACGATTGTGGGAATGGCGCAGGACCGGGTAGTGTTTCATTCTGTTGTTTGTAGGGTCGCTGAGCTGGAACTGACTCAACAGCACCTAACAACAAAAACAACAATAGTGCTCATGCGGAACCTGTACAGAGACCAAGAGGCAGTTGTTTGAACAGAACAAGGGGATACTGTGTAGCTTAAAGTCAGGAAAGATGTGCATCAGGGTTCTATCCTTTCACCATACTTACTCAATCTGTATGCTGAGCAAATAATTCGAGAAGCTGGACTATATGAAGAAGAACAGGGCATCAAGATTGGAGGCAGATTCATTAACAACTTTTGTTATGCAGATGACACAACCTTGCTTGATGAAAGTGAAGAAAGAGGACTTGAAGTGCTTACTGATGAAGACGAAAGACTACACAGCCTTCAGTGTGGACTGCATCTCAACATAAACAAAACAAAAATCCTTACAACTGGACCAGTAAGTAACATCGTGATAAATGGAGGAAAGACTGAAGTTGTCAAGGATTTCATTTTACTTGGATCCACACTCAATGCCCATGGAACCAGCAGTCAAGAAATCAAATGCCAAATTGCACTGAGCAAATCTGCTGCAAAAGAGCTCTTTAAAATGTTAAAAAGCAAAGATGTCACTTTGAGGACTAAAGGTGTACCTGACCCAAGCCATGCCATGGTATTTTATTTTATTGTACTTAAGATAAAGGTTTACATAGCAAACTAGTTTCTCATTAAACAGTTAATACACATATTGTTTTGTGACATTGGTTGCCAATCCCATGACATGTCAACACTCTCCCCTTCTCGACCTTGGGTTCCCTATTACCAGCTTTCCTGTCCCCTCCTGCCTTCTTGTCCTTGCCCTTGGGCTGGTGTGCCCATTAGGCTCGTTTTGTTTTATGGGCCTGTCTAATCTTTGGTTGAAGGGTGAACCTCAGGAGTGACTTCATTACTGAGCTAGAAGGGTGTACAGGGCCAAGCCATAGTATTTTTAATTGCTTCATATGCATGTGAAAGCTGGACAATGAATAAGGAAGACTGAAGAAGAAGTGATGCCTTTGAATTATGGTGCTGGTAAAGACTACTGAATATACCATGGACTGCCTGTTGACTTGTTGCCATCAAGTTGATTTTGACTCATAGTGACCCTATAGGACAAAGTGGAGCTTCCCCATGGGGTTTCCAAGGGGCAGCTGGTGGATTTGAACTGCCAACCTTTTGGTTAGCAGCCATAGCTCTTAACCACTGTGCCACCAGGGCTCCTGAACTTCCAGAAGAATGAACAAATCTGTCTCGGAAGAAGTACAGCCAGAATGCTCCTTAGAAGCAAGGATGGCGGGACTTTGTCTCATGTACTTTGGACATATCGGGAGGGACCAGTCCCTGGAGAAGGACATCACACTTGGTAAAGTAGAGAGTCAATGAAAAAGAGGAAGACCTTCAACGAGATGGATTGACGCAGTGGCTGCAACAATGGGCTCAAGCATAGCAAAGATTGTGTGGATGGCACAGGACCAGGCAGTGTTTCGTTCTGTTGTATACAGGGTAACAATGAGTTGGAACTGACTTGATGACACCAAACAACAGAAAAACAACTATATATTGAGCACCTACTATGTGCCAGCACTGGGGATCCAGCAGTGACAAAGTGAGTGAGAACTGGAGAGAGGATACCCGTTGAAGTTACCTTGATGCCAAAGTCTGGACTTCTTCCCAAGTCTGGACTTCTTCTGTATGTGTTGCTCAGACATTTGAAGTGACTCTAAATGGGACCACTAGAGAAGCCGCCAGTCTGACCCACGGGCTTGGAACTTTCCAGCCTCTACAACTGCATGAGCCATTTCCTTGGTATAAATCTCTCTCTATATATATATGTTTATATGTTTCACTGCTTTTGCTTCTCTAGATAGCCCAGCTGAAGACACTGGTTGACTGAATAAAGGAAGGAAAACCCAGGTAAATAATGACACAGAAGGTTCTTAAAAAAAATACTAAAAATACCTTTTAAGAAAACCCTAAAAATATGTGGTGTCATAACTTCCTCAGTCTAATGGTTTTAGATCCGCTTGTGGTTGTAAAGATTTTGTCTGGACAAAGGCAACAATTGTTCAGGCCCCTCTTCTGCAATGTTCTGTGCCCACAGTTACAGGTGCATTGCTTCAGCAGTCCTCTGCGTCCAAATCCAACATCGTCACCCCAGAGGGGTATGTGGTTGCATTTTCAGCAAGTAGTATTTTCTGTTATTCTTCTTTTCTCCTCCTCCTTATTTGGCCAAACATTTTTATATAGATGGAAATCAGATTACAGAAGGGTCAGCCTTGAAAAGATGTTACAAAGTTTCCTTAAGCCAAAAGGAAATGGAAGAAGGAAGAGGCAATGCTATCATTTGCCTTGGTGGTGCAGGGTTACTTGTAAGCGGATTGTACAAATGAGCCTCAGGTCCTTTTTAGAACTAGCTTATCTAGTCACCTCTCCATCTCCCCTCTGCACTCTTGAGGTGCCTAGCTGTGGTATTTGGGTCAGCTAGTGAATAGCTCTCTTTTAGTAAAACAAAATCCATGATCTTCAAGGTTTATCCTATTTAAAAATCAGAGGAAGGAGAAAAGGAGCTGTACTGAGCATCCTGCACAAGTGTCTGAGTCTGAGGGTTCACAAGCCCTGCCCGATTCCATTGTTTGTCTTGAGATAATCTACATTTTAGACAACTTCGCAGGTTCCCTATCTAGTGCTCACTCTCCAGTCCATTTCAGGCATTGGCTGAAAGCGTGGGAAGCAAGGATAAAAGTCCAAAAAGAACATAGTTTAGTGTAATATTATATTTTATATTAGATTATTTTAACCATCTTTAGTGGTATTCTTTCCTTTAAAAACTGTTCATTTTTCTGATTACAAAAACAATAAAAGCAGTTATGGAATAAGAAAAAGCATAAAGAAGAAAATCAAAATGATGTGTTGTTCATACTCATATGCAAACATTGTATACTTCCTTCAAGATGTTTCTCTATGTATCTTTTTATTTTACACTATTTGCTTACCTCCCCTTTCTTTTTTTTCTCTCTTTCTGATATAAGCTCAGCCCTTCTTTTAGCAATCATATCATCCTGTTAAAGAAAGAGACAATTAATGGATAAGGATAAAAATTACTTTCTGTGTATTAATGTATTTCTTTTTTCCAAACTGGGAATAATATTTGGGTGAAAAGATGATGACGTTTCCAGAAAAGTATGTGATGGTTGTAATTATGTTACTTATGTCTTTGTGCCTCTGGACCTCTTGATCGGCTATTTCCCTCCAGAGAGAGAAATAGCACTTGGTGTCAGTCATTCCACAAACTTTAGAACTCCCTTTCAAATATTTATTATTTATTTATCTTTCATACTTGGAGAAATAGGGAAATTTATTGTTAGCTGCCGTCAAGTTGGCCTCCAACTACTAGCGACCCCATGTACAGTGGGATCCGACCGTTGTGATCCATAGGGTTTTCACTGGCTGATTTTTCAAAAGGAAATACTTAGAGGTAATTTGTTGAAAATATTTGATACTCCTTTTATAATACCATCAAAATACAATAGCTTAAAAAAGCCTAAAAATACATAGGCATAGTTTCACAGACATGATGTATAGATTGCCCTCCAACCTTTCTAGAGTCCTCTAAGTCTGATGGCAATGGATCCTTTGACATGTGCCCAAGGCTTGTGTAAAAACTAATCAGTGCCCTGGATGGTTTTGGGGCTCACTGGCCAAGGACTCTTCAAACTGGAATCCCTTTACATCGTGGGAGATTAGAGAGGTACCTAAAGACATTCTCTATGGACTCTGGTCTAGGCCTGGAGGACTCTGGCTCTTTTATCTGCTTAATATCGAGTACATATTCCTGAAAACTTACACCATGTAGGTACTGAAGAAATATTAGTCGATAGAATTATAAAACTGAATTGAATCAAATTAATTTGGTTTATGAGCCCCCAGAGATATTCTGTTGCTCTTAAGAAGGTAAGAGTTTACAAAAGCTTATATTATTTCCTTTCTTAAAACTATGGTTCTACCATAGGCCCTTTAATCGTAGAGTTGTGAAAACATAATCTCCTTTGTGCTTTCATAACACATAAAGATCACTTTATACACAACAAAGAAATGCAAAGTAGACACAATAACACATCCATAACCTGAGTCTACTTTTTCTCTGCTCCCTTCACTCAAACATGCAGTGGTCAGTGTAACTACTGGACGTCTGCTAGATGCCAGCACTGTCCTGAGCACTGTCCTACCAATCACAAAGGCCTCAAACAATTCTTAACTCTTACATAGTCTTGATATTTGATGAACAATGCTTTCATGCTAACTGTGGTATTAAAACGAGAACACTACATTTTTTTTTTTTTTTTTTGAACATAAGGTTTATTCTGAGCAGTTATTCTATATGCATATCGGGAGACCATTTTGATATCAGAAAATGCAAATGGCTCAAGGAACCTAGGTATAATGAGGCTTATAAAGAGAAGAGGAGGGAGAAATATAGATCAACCATTGGTTAATCTTAACATGATTAATTGTATCTTGCTCTCCCTTTTTTATTGAGATCAGCTGATATCAGGTCACAAGATGATGTCAGCCCCTCCATTCAGCCTGGCTTTGAACAGGAAAGAAAGGATTTGCAACTTTGGGTGAGAGAAAAGCCACTGGTGGATTAATTTTGGTCAGGAATTTTTTTTAAGTGAATATTTGGTTTTGTGAGTAAGAATACCCCCAAAATCAAAGCAAGATATCTGCCACCAAATTCTCTCTGACATTCCCCCATTCTGATCATGACTCAATCGGAATCTTTAATCACTAAGCACTGGCTGGGCACCAATCTAGGTTCTTTTGGTCTTATAGGCACTTCTTTACAGGGTACTTTTTTTTTTTTTTTTTTTTAATATTTTATTGTACTTCAGGTGAAGGCTTACAGAACAGATAGTTTCTCATGTAACAGTAACACACATGCTGTTTTATGACATTGGTTAACAACCCCACAACATTTTAACCCTCTAAATTCTCAACTTTTTTTTTTTTTTTTGTAAAAATACACATAGCCAAAGATACGCCATTTCAAAAATTTTTTTTACATACACATTTAAGTGACATTGACTACGCTCTTCTAATTGTGCTGTTATTCTCACTTAAGATGAAGGCTTACAGGACAAAATAGTCTCCCATTTAACAGTTAATACAAATGTTGCCCTATGACAATGGTTAACAATCTCACAACACATCAACAATATCCTTACTCTACTTTGTGTTCCCTATCATCAGCTTCCTACTCCCCTTCTGCCTTCTGGGCCTTGTCACTGGACTCCTGTACTTCGTTACTCTCATGGTTTTACTGGGCTGTCCACTCGCAGGCTGAACAGCAGAACACTACATTTTTGTAAAGGCCACTTTATAATTTAAAATAGATGATGAACAAATTTATTCCCAGGCATTTTTACTGGATACCTACCCTTATTTTTGCCTTCATATCTTTGATGAGTTTTTTCCTGTCTAATCTCTTCTTTTGTTTCAGTTTCCATTTTTCAATATGGGAAGGAAGAAGACGATCAGAAATATCTTGATCATCAACTTGTATAAAAACAGCAGCATCTGGGAAAAATCCATGCTCCCCTAGAAACTGGGCCTCCTCAGGATATCGTGGAAAACCATCTAGTATAAAACCTGTGGAACTAGGTGGAAATTTTCAGAATTTATCATATTTGCTTAAAATATTTATTATAGATTAAACATAGATTTTAAAATGAGAAAATATATAGATAAATCTTAACTTTCTATAGATGTGCAATGAATAGTTTAGAAAGTTTACTGTAGTATCTTTCACTTCTTTTAATATTTCTACTGTGTACGCATGGTATTTCTTCTCCCAAATATACTGAATTGGATTAAAATGATAATATGTTTTATCTATAATATAAAATTGTAATCAATAAGTTTACAGATAATTACTATTAATTAGAAATGTATTAAAAGTTGTGAGAAGATAATAGGGAAAAAGAAAATAGGTTCTCAGCTTGGGAAGAGCATGCAATCTAATGGATATATCATCCTGTATGTTACGAGTATATTTGGCTGGTCCACCTTTAGTGGAAACCCGAAAATATTACTTTTTCAAAAATAAATAAAATTAAGTCCCCCACCCCTGGCTGTTCTCCATGTCCCCCATGGTTCCTGCTGTATCCTGTGAGCGAGTCTGGCCATCTGATCTGTCCTGCCTTCCCATGAGTCTCTGCTGTTCAGCTGGCCTATCCTAGTAGCAGGATCTAGGAAGGAGCCAATACCCTGGGATTGGTTTTGCCCTAGCAGGGAGCATATATGAAGATTTCTGTTTGGGCCAGAACTTGATCCTGGAACCACCAAACTTTCAGGTGGTGTGTAATAAAAGATTTGGCTGGCCTTTGCCCCCAATTCCTAGCAGGTAGCCTTTAAACCTTGGGAATGTCCCAAGTGATCAGAATGACTTTGTTATTAATTGTTGGTGCCTGGACCACACCTGATAGTTTATCTAATGAGGTAACTCATGGTGGGCCCCTTGATAGTTTTTGCTAACAAGATGATTCATGCTAGTCATGACAGAAAAACTAACCATGTGATTACTGGTTTGGAGTTTTGAGCCACGCACGTGATATCAGCCTCACCTTTGACGAGGGAAAGGGGCTGGAGATTGAGTTCAATCACATGGCCAGTGATTCAATCAATCATGCCTACATAACAAAGCCTCAATAAAAACTCTGAACTCCCAGGCTCAGGTGAGCTCCCCTGGTTAATAACATTCTGTATACATCGATGTGCCAGGAGTGTGACATGTCTCTGGGGACACAGAAGTTTTGCGTTTGGGACCCTCCTAGAATTTTCCTTATGCATCTCTCCCTTTGGCTCGTTATAATTTGTATAATTTATCTTTATAAAAAATATTTAAAAATTTTATTTTTCTCTAATAAAACTGTAATAATAAGTACAGCACTTTCAGGGCATTTTGTGAGTTGTCCTAGTGAATTATCAACACCGAGTGGGTAGTAAGAACCCCCAGCTTGTAACCAGGTGGTCAGAAGTGAGGGTGGCTGGTGTCTGAAGTGAAGTGGGGGCAGCCTTGTAGAGGATTGTGCCCTTCTCCTGTGAAGTCTGGCCTAACTGCAGGTAGCTGGTGTCAGAAGTCATTCGCAGGTAGATATCAAAGCAAGATAGAGTATGATTAAAGAAGAGAGGTGAAGTTTTGAATTCTGGTAACCTGGAGATTCTAAAATTTGTCCTGTCTGGTGTCAAGACTGTTTCTGGCATTTGGTAAAGGGATAACACTATGGAAAGTCATTAAGTGGAGAGTACAGTAAAACCTGCGAAAGCCGGAAACTGTGTAAGGCAGAAACCTGTCAGAGAGGGAAAACTCAAGTATCTTCCACTAAAACAAGCGATAGAAAAGTAGTAAGATTGCACTCTGTCAAAGGCGGAAAACTTGTGAGAACTGAAAAAACAAGGCAATCCCACTGAGTTCCAGCTTTCACAGGTTTCACTGTAATCGTTAAAAGGCAGTAGGGGAAAAGAGTCCAGCACATAATTAGGGTACATGGTTTAGAACAGGGATTCTCAACCACGTCTGCACATTAGAATCATCTGAGGAGCTCTCAAAAATGCCAGTGCCTGGGTCCCAGCCCCACATCTCCAGAGCTTCTGATTCAATTGTTTTGGGGTGAGGTCTAGTCATCAGTATTTTTTTTTAAATTCCCCAGATGTTTTAAAGGTGTAGCTCAAGCAAGAGTCACTAGTTTACAGGAAAAGAGCTAGGAGGAGAAAACTCTTAAATTTATATTGAATTGCATTTTTAACTTTTAAGAATAAAGCAAATAAAAGTCAATAAAAGTATAATCCTATATAGATTTAAATACCATATTGGTTCCTTAAGCCAACACTCAGAAAGAATTCCTTCGAGAATTTCTGGAGGCAATGGCTCATTGTCTATTAAATTTGATTTGATTGCTTCTTCTTCCTCTGTAAGATGTACTTCTGGAGACTAAAAACAAGGAATCAGAGAATAAAATAAAAGTCAATATTAATAAATAATACTACATGACATAGTTGATTGGGAAGAGACCTGCTGTTTTCTCCAGGTAATTTTTTATATTATGGCTTGTATTCAAAATTTTTTAATTTGGGCTCTATTTTTAAACCAATATTTAATATGATTATAAATATTAAATTATGTCTATTATTGTTAAGAGGAGTTACTATGATTAGTAGGGCTGATTTTCACACATGGACTCAGGATATCTGTCTCATCACTTTTTGCTAAAATCTTGTACAGTCTAAGTCATACACCTAAAAGGCTTACTGATTTTTGTTGTCTTTCTTGTAATTATACTGTATTATCTCTCCAACCTAGATATGACTAGGGGATAGTTCATGCAGCCATCTGGAATACAATCAATAAGGGAATTAAAATATTATAATAATAAATAGAAAATATTGTGATCATTAACATAGCTCTCTCTGAAGTAGGATTAGTCTTGAATGGATATTTACAAACAACAGTTCTTACTAGAGTGGAACTATTTTTATTTAGTATTTTTGTCATCCAAAAACTCTGAAACCGAATAAGGTATGGCAAATTCTGCTTACCAGGAAGTGGGATATAATTTTATCATGTAAAAATAAAATCTCTTAATGTACCTCCTGAGAAGCCAAATGATTTAGAAAACTGCAAAAGAAAATCAAATAAAAAACCCTAGAAAAGTAGGAAGTATCCTGCTACATTTTAAAGTCTACATTTGTTGAATTTTAAAATCTGGATCAAAATATAATTAATAGAATCTCCACCAAACATAAGTGGAAAAGATTTAAAGAATATGTTTGAAGGGGTGCCACATCACCTTTTAGGATACTATATGCTGCTATACAGCCCTGCTCCAACTTCGTAAGTATTACACATAACTACCTGGGTCTATTTATGTGGGGCATCATTTGAGACAAAAATGGTCTAGGTATACCAAAAATGGTTTACAAGTGAGTTAGAATTAAAGAAATTTTTTTTATAACCCCAGATAGAAATGATCTAAGAGATACATACTTTCTTGTGAGACATCATTAGAAATTAATATTTTTGAATCTCATTGGCACTGGCACAGATTTTTATGATATTTGATAGAGGACAGAGAGGACACAGCAATTGAAAATTTTATAGTCTAGGTTAGACATATCAAATAATATAGCCCCAAATAAATCCTGCACAATGGTCTTGTCAGGGAAATCTTTCCCAATTTTTTACTGGAGTCAATGAAACTCAGTATTTTATATTCTAGATGGGCAGTAAGATCTGTATTTAACATGTGGAGGGATAACTCATAAGTGCTTCTCATAAAGCTGATTTTTTTCTTGTTAGAAACTCTACAGCATTTTATACTACTTATATTCTGCTTCGCAAAAGTAACAGCAGTAAACACAACTATCTACAAAGAAAATATTACTATTACTACCGGCTTCTTTGTATTTTCTTCCTCAATTGTAATATTGGCTTGAACGGCAAGTTCTTCAATTTCTTGCTTTGCACCTTGTTCATCCTCAGATTCTTCCTCAAATTCAGGTCCAACTTTCTTTCCGGTTTTGAGCATTAATTTTTCTTGAAGGACTTCTTCAAACTGAATGTGAAAAATGTCCAAATTTTCTGCCAAATATCTTCCACAGACAGTTTTGCCAGAGCCATGGGGGCCCAGAAGACATAGTCTTAACGGAGGCGCCTGTCAGGGAGGTTGGGTCGGTGGAAGTGGGATGGAATAAAGAAAAGGAACTTTTCAGTACTTTAGAAAACGTGATTGGCTTTTTAAAATTCTCCCCCTAAGACCCAGTAGGGATTATCATTTTCAGGAAATCAAGTATGGTTCAATGTTAGGATATCAATTAATATACGGTAAAACCTGTGAAAACTTGAACCTGTCTAAGATGGAAAGAAGGAAAACTAAAATATTTTCCACTAATAGAAAAGTCGTAAGATTGTACCATGTCAAAGGTGGAAAACTTTCGATACCCGGAAAAACAAGGCAATCCTGTAGAGTTCTAGCTCTCACAGGTTTCACTGTGAGCCATTACAACAATGGTCCTCAGGGATTATCAGTGACCACAGGATCATCTTTTTATTTTTATTTTTTTAATTTTATTGTGTTCTAGGTGAAAGTTTACACAGCAAATTAGGTTCCCATTTAACAATTTTTGTACAAATTGTTCTGTGACACTGGTTATAATTTCACAGTATGTCAGCAGTCTCACTATTTCCATTCTGTTTGTTCTATTTCCATTGATCTAGCTTCCCTTTCCCTCCTTGCCTTCTCATCTTTGCTTTTGATTAACTGTTGACCATTTGGTCTCACATAGTTGATTGTTTAAGGGAGCACATTACTCACCGGTGATACTGTTTATTTTATAAGCCAATCCATTATTTGGTTGAAAGGTGACCTCCAGAAATAGCTTCAGTTCCAAGCTCAAAGGATGTTTTAGGGCGATAGTCTCGGGGGTTCCTCTAGTCTCTATTGGTCCAGTAGGTCTGGCTTTTTTTAGGAATTTGAATTTTGTTCTATATTGTTATACCATTCTATCCAGGACATTCTATTGTGTCCCTGGTCAGAATGGTCAGTAGTGGTAGCCAGGCACCATTTAGTTCTTCTGGTCTCAGGTTAGAAAAGGTTGTGGTTTGTGTGGGCTATTAGCCCCATGGACTAGTTTCTTCTTTGAGTCTTTGGTTTCCTTCATTCTCTTTTGCTCCAGACAAGTAGAGGTGAAGAGTTGTATCTTAGATGACCGCTCACAAGCTTTTAAGACCCCAGATGCTACTCACCAAACTCAGATGTAGAACATTATCTTTGTGAACTATGTTATGCCAGTTGACTAAGTTGTTCCCCAAGACTACGGTCCCAAGCTTTTTGACCCAGTAAACCAATCCCTCAAGTTGTCTGGATATGTGTAGGAAGTCTCTGTAACTGTGCCCCCTATGTGCTTTACTATATATATGGATATATATGCAACACACACAAACATGTATATATATGTATACATGTATATGTATATATATATGTATATGCCTACAGATACACTCTACATGTACATGCATTTACTTGCATATGCCTTCCTATACATATATATGCACACATATCTACCTATGTAACTATACACATATTTTTTGATTGTTATTCCAAAATTGTATATGTTATAGTATTTACTGAAATTGCCTCTTTTTCTTGTGTACTTCTTACAGACTTCATTTACCTTGATCAAGTTGTGTAGAATTCACCTATACTTGGTATTATCTTTCCCATTACCAAAAATAAAAAGTGTCCACTATCTAGAAAGTGATTCCTCCTCCCTCCTCCTCCTGTCCTGGTAACAATCAAAGAATGGTGCTTTCTGTGTATACATCTATTCTTGACTTTTTATAGTACTGGGACCATACAATATTTGCCCTTTTGTGATTGACTTATTTCACTCAGCATAATGTCCTCCAGGTTCATCCATGTTATGTTTTGTGGACTCCTCATATTCTTTATAGTTGCATAGTATTCTACTGTATGTATGTACCACAATTTTTTTATCCATTCACCCGTTGATGGGCACTTAGGTTGTTTCCATAGGATCACCTTAATATCATGTGCCAAAAGGCATTTAATAAAATTAAACACTTAGATTTGCTTTTTGAAAAAGTCTTAGTGAATAAAGAATGGAAAGAAACTTTCTTAACATGATTAAAAAGAAACTCTGTCAAACAAAAAACCTCTAATAATGAAACATTAGAGGGCTTCCATGAATGCCTATAATCCCCATCCTGGAGATGAGGAAGCCTGAAGCCAGAGAATCCACAATATGGATCATCCACACGGATGCTGAAATTGCCAAGAATGATGATGAGAGCTGCGGTAAAGCAAGAGCTTGAGTCTTTCGTGAGTGAGGAGAAATGACTATGAAATTGGCAGGTGATGGCAACAAGGAAGGGGGAAATGGTGAAATATGTGGATGGTGTGAACCTCAAAGAAAGGAGAAGTTATGAATTGCTATCAGCAGAGAGAAGCAAGAAGTATAGCCTCATCACCTTCTGTCGTTTTGAAGAAAAAATGTTCAGAGAAAAGTTTAAAGACGCAGGAAGAAGTTATACCAGGGAGATACACACAAGGGAAAGAGAAATCCAAGGTATTCTGAAAGGAAAATGATTTTCAACCTAGAAATCTATGCCCATACAAACTATCAATCATGTATGAGAACAAAAAAATGACATTTTCAGATATGAAGAAAGTTAGTTGAGGATGTGTTTCAGCAAAACAAGGGTGAAAAAAACAAATGCAAAAGGAAAACACGATATAAAGAACTGTTGATTTTGCCACCTAGTATTTATTCACCATTCTTCTGTTAGCCATATCTGGGTAGAGTTCTGGGAGACCACTTCTCACTTTGTAATGACCATCAGTAGAACTGATTCCATCCTTAGTTCAATAATTGGGCATAGGACAAAACTTAAGTCAAATTGATGCGATGCATCACATTCTTTTGGTCACTGATTGGTTCAGTAAGACTCTTGCTGAAGCTTTTGGGGGTAAAAATCAAGTCCTTTTTTGCTTGTTTTGAGAACAAAAGGATTTAAGATCTGGAGCTCCTGCTGCCATTTTCCCACAAGGGGGAAACTCCCTGAGAAGATACATCCAGAGAAAGCAGAGCTGAGAGATGGAGAGAGAAACCTGGCCCTGGTAACACCTGACACTTGATAATAGGCAAGAAGCCACACTTAAAGCCAATCCTATCATTGTATTTTTCAGTACCTTTTAGTTAAGCCAGTTTAGGTTAACTCCCCCCCCCCCCCCCCCACCGCTTCTTTTCTTCCTATCAATTGCAACTAAAAGAATCCTACATTATCCTGGACTCAAGTCAAATTGAGGATACAGTGAAGGGGGATGCCAGGATAGAAACTAGAAGAAGGATGGCAGACTCTGGGCGGGAGGTCTCTGGCAGAAAACGGGGCTCAACAATCATGAAGTATATTTGAAAGCTTAAGAAAACTCAAGCATTTGATAAGGGCAAGAATATAAGAAACTAAATTGCAACGAGAAACTGCAGGAAGATAAATTTTCATTTTATTGCCCAGAGGTCATGCTGTTCAACTATAAAAAAAGAAATAAAATACTAACATACAACTTGGGCTGAGGTTTTGCATATTAAAAATAGTTTATTGGTTTTCACATTTTTGAGTCAATTTAGGAGCAAAGCACAGAAGACTTGGTTGGCTACTGGACAGAATGTAAATGTTAACAACAGTGGCAATATAAAAGAATAGACAGAAGATGGAGGATAGAATACGTTAGGGGGAAGGAGAGGTGGGAAAAAAGGGCCAGGGGCTCATATCATTTTACTGAGAGTAAAGACATACTATTAGCAATAAATGTAAAATGAGTTGAAAACAGAATGTTCTTTAAAGTTATAAAGATTGCCAACAACAGAATGGAAAATAACATAGACATAAAACTCTCGTAAAGAGGAGGTAGTGTAAGAGCTAAACCTTCATTTTCACCTCAGGGAGTCAGTTGCTAATGACTAAAGTTGATATATCAAGAAATGGAGAGATAAGCATATTATTCTAGTATGGGGAGGCAACCACTGAAGAATTAAAAATAGGAACGTTAAAGATATTGCCTCTGAGATGAGACTGTGGTGGAGAGGGGAGACTTGCTTTTCCCTGTAAATTAACGTGTGCAAGTACTATTTTGAGAAAAATAATGAAAAATTGAGCAATCGGAAAAACAAAACAAAAACATAAAAACTAGAACCAGTATGAAATTGTGTAGCTGCAGCCTCATACAATACTTTCGGATCACATTTTAAATTGCTCAGTGGCAAGATTGCTGGAGTAACACAGGTTAAATCTTTGGCAACCTCATCTGTCTGGAACACTGCTGCTAACTCAGAGGGCATTAACAGTAGCTGGACATGGAAGAAAATGTCCATGACTAACCCATGTACGTTATGCTCTGCAGAACAACTGTGGAGTCACCATCAGGCTTTCAGGCTCTTACCATATGGATTTGTGTAAAAAAAGACAGTAGATCAAAAGCAGCAAAATGACTCAGAGGAGAGAAATGACAGCTGAAAAAGACAAAAGAAGACAAATGGACAAGACTGCAGTGTGATTAATTACTTTTGTGTGTGGTTTTTCTAGCCAGGGTCTTGTAAATCCCACCCAGGTGACTGGGCAGGACTGTGTGATAGGGTAATTGTGGCCCACCAAGGGGATTGGTTAGTTTTGCATTAAAAAGAGAGCCAATTCCAGGGCAGAGAGGAGGAGCTCACCACCACCAAGGAAGGAGAGACCCAGCAGCAGAGACCTGGCAGCAGGAGATAGTACATTGGGCTTCCTGGCCCACGGAGAGAGAAAGCTGAGTGCCTTTGGGCAGAGACTGAGGGATAGGGAGAGGGAAGCCTGTGAGCACAGCTGGGGAGAGGCAATCCTGATGGAAGAACTGTATCCTGAGTGTTCTCGAGCCCGAATTGTAACTGGTACTTCCCTAATAGACGCTATAATTGCAAGTACAGTCTGTGAGTTCTGTGTGGCCATTGCAATGAATTATAGAACCCAGTAGAGAGTGCTGTGGAAGGGACAGTTGGTGTCAGAACTGGTAAAGATGGCGGAGAGAGGAGGCATGTCTGACCCCGCCTAAAAGAAATCAGCCTTGAGCAGTTGATCCTGGTTCTTCTTCCCCATTTTGGGGTTGGAGGAGGTCAGACACCGCCCCCAAGTCCTTTTTACAAAGCCCTTAAATGACACCACCACCAAAAGACTGGGAATTTTTAGTGACAGCACAACCACTCATCTACTTCAACAGTCCCTGTGGGCATCATATAAAAATTGATGTTCATGAAAATGGCCTAAATTCTTCAGAAGAATTTAAATCATGTTCTACATGCTAAGCTTAAGAAGGCACAGGCATTACATAAAGTAATATGGCAATATATTGTGATTTATATAGCTTGATCCAGTAATCCCATTCCAGAGAATTAATATTAACAAAATAATTAAAGAAAAACAAGAATGATGTGCCCAAAGATTTCCTAAGTACCATTTAATATCCACCACGGCAAAATACTAGGAAAAATACTGTGAAACAATGTCTAACAATGAATATGATGTTAAAATCGTTTTGATGATCAAAATGATCAGATGTTATGAGATCTATGTAGAAATATAAAAACATTTCTATGATATAATATTAAGTGAAAAAGTAGATTACAGAAATGTTATATACACTAGGAAAAAAATATATACATATGGAAGAGAGCTAGAAAGTAAAACACAAAACTAAAAACTATTGTCTATGCACACCCATGTTCATTGCAGCATTGTTCACAGTAGCAAAAAGATGGAAACAACCTAAGTGCCCATCAACAGAAGAATGGATAAACAAACTATGGTACATACACACAATGGAATACTATGCAACAATAAAGAACAATGATGAATCTGTGAACAGATTTCACAACATGGATGAATCTAGAGGGCATTATGCTGAGTGAAATAAGTCAATCATAAAAGGGGAAACACTGTGTGAGACCATATTATAAAAACTCATGAAAAGTTTTACACGCAGAAAGAAACAATCTTTGACGGTTACTAGGGAGGGGAGGGGAGCCCTGGTGGCACGGTGGTTAAGAGCTACGGCTGCTAACCAAAAGGTTGGAAGTTCGAATCCACCACCTGCTCCTTGCAAACCCTATGGGACAGGTCTAGTCTGTCCCATAGGGTCGCTCTGAGTCGGAATTGACTCGATGGCAACTTTTTTTCTTCCTTAGGGAGGGTGGGTGGTGAGGGAAAAACGCTAACTAGACAGTAGATGAGTGGTAACTTTGGTAAAGGGTTAGACGAGCACATAATACTGGGGAAGTCAGCACAGCTTGACCAAGGCAAGGTGACGGAAGCTTCATAGACACATCCAAACTTTCTGAGGGACCAAATTACTTGGCTGAGGGCTGGGAACCATGGTCTCAGGGGATGTCTAGCTCAATTGGTATAACATATAAAGCGTCTGGGGTCTTAAAAGCTTGTGAGTAGCCGTCTAAGATACTCCACTGGTCCCACCCCATCTGGAGCAAGGGAGAATGATGGAAAACAAAGACACAAAGGAAAGATTAGTCCAAAGGACTAATTAATGGATGACAACTATCACAGCCTCCACCAGACTGAGTCTAGCACAACTAGATGGTGCCCGGCTACCACCACTGACTGCTCTGACAAGGCTCACAATACAGGGTCCCAGACAGAGCTGGAGAAAAATGTAGAACAAAATTCTAACTCACAAAAAAAGACCAGACTTACTGGCCTGACAGAGACTGGAGAAACCCCGAGAGTATGGCCCCCAGACACCCTTTTAACTCAGTATTGAATTCACTGCTGAGGTTCACCCTTCAGCCAAAGATTAGACAGGCCCATAAAACAAAATGAGACTAAATGGGCAAATGAGCCCAGGGGCAAGGCGAGAAGGCAGGAGGGGACAGGCAAGCTTGTAATGCGGAACCCAAGGTCGAGAAGGGGAGAGTGTTGACAAGTCGTGGGGTTGGCAACCAATGTCACCAAACAATATGTGTATTAATTGTTTAATGAGAAAATAATTTGCCTTGTAAACCTTCATCTAAAGTACAATACAAAGAAATAATTAACAACAACAAAAACCTGTTGTCTAAAGCTCGTGGAATTATGTGTTGTGCTTTATTTTTAAAAATGGATCAAATATTGCCACAATGTGTTCTTAATAAATATTTTTTAAAGAAGGTGGAAAAATCTGTTCCAATAGTAGATAAACAAGTAAGAATAAAAATGTTCCCACAAAGTGAGGAAAAGACTGTTTTATAGTCATGGTAACTGGTTTTAAATTGACAATTTAGCTCAGACAAGTTTTTTGTAATAGAACCAATCAGTCTCAGCCTCTTGCCTCTGACGTCAGCCAATCAGAGACGAAGTCACTCTGATAACCTACCTTTGCGTATGAACCAGTCAACAGCAGTCTCACCTGATCAATCACACTTCTACAGATCATGTCTACCTACTTATGCCTCTGAAAGTCCACCAGTCCCTGAAGTCCACACTTCCCAAAAATCCTATGTAAAATTCAGCTGACTGCTCTGCTTGCCTGAACATTTATCGTTAGTTGCTTTCGAGTTGGCTCTGTTTCATGGTGACCTTACATATATAACAGAACAAAACCTTGCTCTCTTAATATAAACCACTAAAATAGTTGCCCTTCAGTCGACTCCGACTCACGGCAACCCCATGTGTGTCAGAGTAGAACCGTGCTTCATAAGGTTTGTAGTGGCTGATTTTTCAGAAGTAGATTGCCAAGCCTTTCTTTTAAGGGACCTCTGGGTGGACTTGAACCTCCAACTTTTCAATTAGCAGCCAAGTGCCTTAATCACTTGCACCAATCGGGGCTTCTGTCTCTTAATATAGTAAGCAATAAATTCAGCTTTGTCTTTTTATTTCAGATATAAAGATACATATTAAAGCATTACTGTAGAAATTAAAACAGATAATTATTTTATGTTATATTCCAAAATTGTTGTTCTTTGAGACATATTATTGTTATGTCAGATCAAGGACTTCAATCTTCAACAATAGAGGCTGGTAGTAAGTTCTAGAAAAAGTAGTAAGGAGCAATAATTTAGGATAGAAACATTGTTTTCACCTTCAATGGTTCTTCATGAGCCACATACTCCTCAGGGTGCTCCAGAAACTTTTCTTTAGCCTCAGCACTTGAAAAGTAGTAGATCTTGTCTCGATATTTAGCTGCTTCTTCTATGTTGCCTGGTTGTAGGATGAAGTTTTCTTTGAGAACCACTGGACAAAAGTGCTTTGTATCTCCCAAATGCCTCCTCTTTTCTTTAATTCTCTCTTCATTCTAGAAATACATTCACAGTTTGGAGAACATTATTAAGAAGTAATTTGATGCAATACTAAAGAGGAAATTTAAAAAATACTGGATCTTGGGCAATATTTAATCCACAACAATACAGATTTAAAGCAATCCATGAAAGGCTAGTTCTTATATGATTTTAATTATTTTAAAAAATCAGTTCTCATATTCCTCTAAATTCACATTCCATGATTCTTGATTTTCATAAGCATCACTGAGAATGAAATTATCCTCAGCCCTCTACAGATACAGGTGGAATGAAAAACCCCAGGAGGTGCTGGCACAGGGTCACTGTGAGGTTTATAAAAAAATATTATTCTCAGGAAAATAAGGAGCCCTGGTGGCTCAAAGGTTAAGTGCTCAGCTGCTAACCGAAAGGTTGGTGGTTTGAGTTCACTCAGTGGCTCTGCAGGAGAAAGACCTGTCAATCTGCTACCATAAAGATTACAGCCAAGAAAACCCTATGGGGCAGTTCTTCTACTCTGTCACATGGGGTTGCTATGAGTCGGAATTGACTAGACAGCACCCAGCAACAAGCAAACCCAGAAAAACAAAAGCTGAATCAGGGTCACAACTTCTTAAAATTAAATAAGAGATGCCTCAGGAATTGCTTTGTTTCCTATTAATACATGCTTATTGTAAAAGTGTTCAAAATACATCACAATGTATAGAGTGAAAACTTCATCTTTTTCCTTCCAATACTATATTAATACTCTTAATAATTTTGTGTGTATCATTCCAGACTCTTTTTTCTAAGTATATCCTACCAATATAGATAACCTTCTGTAAACGTGTAAAAATGAGAATAATCTATACTCTACTTGTGCCACCCTTCTTCAATTTTTGTATTAGGGTTATGCAAGCTTCAAAATCAACTGGAAGTATTTACCTTTTTTTATGATGTGGATGAATATAAGTAACATAGGAACTATCTAATCAAAGTAGGTATATTAGAAATAAACCCACCAATTATTTTTGTTTGTTCAGCTTTTATCTTCCTTCCTAAGCAAATTTTAGTAACTGATTTTTCTGGGTAAAATCCTTTTCATCTTGACTTTCAAATATATTAGTATAAAGCTTCTATAATTTAAAACAACTCTCTTTTTGTTTTTATCTAGTTATATACCCATTTCATTTCACATGTTTATTGTTTCTTCTTTTTACACGACTCGACTTGCCAGAAATTGTCTATTTTATTGCTCTTATCAATGAACTAAACTTACATTTTTATAATTAGGTCTACTGTTTATATTTTGTCTTATTTTCCTTTCATTAACTTTTGCCTTTAATCTTCTTCCTTCTACTTTCTTTTGGCTTATTTTGTGGTGCTTTTTTTCCAGGTTCTTCAGTTGACTGCTTTGCTATTTTTTTCCAGTCTTTCTTGTTTCCTAATAAATGCATTTAAAGTAGGGTTGCCAGACTTAGCAAATAAAAATACAGACCATCCAATTAAATTTGAATTCCAGATAACAAATAATTTTTCAGTTTATGCACATCCCATGCATAAAAACATTTATCTGAAATTCAAATTTAATTGTGCATTGTGTATTTTACCTGGCAACCCTAATTTCTACTTCTGCCATGCCACAATGTTTTTATATGTGATTTTAATATTATTATTCATTTTTAAATAGTCTGTAATTTTATTTACTTTTTCTTATTTAACTCACTATCTTATGTAGGTGTTTATATTTTTAAATTTTCCAGTGTTTATATTGGAACAATGGGGAAGTGCTATCCTGTCTGGATACTTGTTCTATTTTCTCTTTCTCCTCACAGTTCAGGACTCATACCCCATATGTCCAGGACTAGGTGTTTGTCTTTTTTCATCAATTCTGCCTGGACTTGGTGTGTCTTTCAATCTGTAGGTTATGTCTTTCTTTGTCTCAGAGAAATAAATTCTTGCCTCTCTTCCATCTCTTCCTTTTTTCTTCCATAACACCTATCACTAGCTAGGTCTCTTGGAGCTATCCTCCAAATATCTTTTCTCTCAAATTTTCCATCTCTTTCCTTACATTGTTGCTCTTATACTTTGAAATATGTCTTCCATTCAATCTTCTAATTTAAGAAACTTATTGGGGCCTCAAGAGTGGTGTTTCAGTTTCGTATTAGGAAGAGAGGAAGTGAGAAAAAGTGATTACATTATCAGTGAAGACCATACCTAAAAATGTAAGTTTTGAAAATTACAGATAGACTGAGAATTTTCTAAAGATACAAGAAAAAGGCCATTTTCTTGGATGCAGGAAATAAATAGAGTGTGACACAAAAGACTGGCAGATATAGCAGAAGGACAAGGAGAGAAAAGAATCTGAATATAAGACAAAATCACTTCCTTTAGCCACTCTTGACTAAAGTATTAAAAACTGTTATCAGAATCACACTGCATATCTTTTGTTGTTTGACACACAAATATTTGGGTTTAAGTTAAGCAACAATAAGTTAATTACAAGTGTATGTTTATGTAACTTAAGAATTATTTTATTTATAAAGCTCAGAATTAAAAGAACCATTTCCTGTTTTATGATAGATAGATGCCTGAACTGGAAGAATATCAAATGAGAATGGTTATCAAAATTCTGATGCCAAAAGAATAAGAATGAGGCTTGAATAAGAGTTGTTCCTGTGTGAGAATATTGCACACTATTATGCAAGCAGCCCCTCAAAGACTCCATTGCTGTATTTTATATAAAACACCCACTTATTGCCGTTGAGTCGATTCCGACTCATAGTGACCCTATAGGACAGAGCAGAACTGCCCCATAGGGTTTCTAAGGAGCAGCTGGTGGATTTGAACTGCCGACCTTTTGGTTAGCAGCTGAGCTCTTGACAACTGTGCCACCAGGGCTCCATACAACACTCACTTCTGTTAAATCTATAAATATTTATTTCTCTAATATCTATATATTTTTTCACCAAAAAAAGAAGAAAAGAAGATCCCTTTTCTCTCTTCATGGATGTAATATGCTGTTTATGCAGCCCTGGCATTGCAGGGCTCATGTGAAGCCAGGGTGGGAGGTTGTATAGGGCCACGTTCAATTTCCTTCTTGGCCACACTGAGCTTATGCCCACCTCTGGGGCTTTGCAGTGGAGTGATCTTTGTCCAGATCCTTTTCAGCCTTTCTGTCTCACCTCAAATGTCATCTTCTCGATAGTGTCCTTCTTTGATCACACTGTTTAGTGTTACTCCTTCCAAAGAAGTTGTGCATGAAAATGTTTATTTATGAAATTGAGGACACTTGTTTGTTCACTTGGGGCCCAAAAGTGATAGTTACCACTCAGGATATGTACATTCTGAGTGACCTGCCAAATGAGAATGATAATAAAAGAATCATACCTCTTCTTCTTCCTCTTCCTCTTCTTCGAGCTCCTCGTCAACTTCTCCTTCTGCCTGATAGTCTTCAGTTTCTTCATCATAATCTTCCATAATTAACTCCCATCCAGGGTATTTAAAAGGTTCTATAAAAAAAAAAAAAAAGAGAGACTTTTGGGAAAATATTTTGATAATAAAAGGATGTTAATGTATTATAGTACTCAAAGGCTAGGACAAGTAATTATGATTACTACTCTCTTAGATGATGTATGCACATAAATAGGCCTTAAAAATCTTAATGTGACAGCTGTCCAGTATGGTCTGTGGTAGTTGTGTCTGGCGGCTTTTCTGATTGGTCAGTGGCTGTGCTACAACAGTTGTGAAATATTTTAAATATCATCCTTAGATATATTGAATATTTTACTTCATAAACAATCAAGAAAGACTTTAAAGTTTCACAATGCTTCTAATAACATCACCTGCTCTTGATAATAAATGTTATGATTATAGTCCTTACTTTCCATAGTCTCAACTACTTTTTGAAGTAGTTCCTCTGGAGTTTTGCCAGCAATCTCCAAGTTTAAAATTTGAATAAAAGTTAAATCATTGAGTGATGCTTCCAGCTGTTTCCAGGAGAAGGTGAACTGTCTAATCCTCTCTTTAAGCGGCTCCATTTCAGGAACATCAGGATAAGCACCTTCTGGATACTCAGGAAGCATAACTTTTGAGTAAATGTTAAAGAAAAAAAAAGAGGCTTTAAATATTATCTTTTCAGTTATCTTGCCAGAAATAATTTATACTTTATAATACTGTAATAACATTTGAAAGAAATAAACATAATCTTCTAAGCAACAATATACATTCCATAAATTCATATTTTAATTATGCTTTGCTCCTTGTATTGGCTATACATAAATTATGATCTATTAATAAAAACAAATTATTATGATAATTAATGTGAATTTCATATGGTACCTTTCACTGTTAATAAAATATATAGAATAAAATTTGATAAAATATAGTGCTATAATCTGGTTAGATACATTTTTAATAAAATAATCTAAGTAAATATAACACACAACTGGCATACAATAGAGAAAGAAATCAGTAGGAAGTTGGTATTATGCCTGAAATAAGGGACAAGACTATTTATGAGAGAACATTAAAAGCACTTTGATGTATTAACTACTTTTATTTTATAATCTAACCTGTTTCAGATAATTTTTCAGTTTCCAGGCCCTCTTTGGATTCTTGCAGAATTTCAGTTTCAACTGTAGTATCCTCAATAGGCTCAGCTGCTTAAAACAGAAATCTAATAGTTAGTGTTTGAATTTTAAAAACACTACTCGTTTGTAAAAAGCTCTGGTTCAAAGAAAATTTCATAACATAATTTAAATCATATATAATATACCTAATTGAAAATGCAAGATATATGTTTGGTGTACTCAAAAAGCACAATAGGACAACGGAACTTATGAAATAAGAATAGTGAGGCATAAAGAGAGACCAACCAAAGATAAAGGGAGAAATACAAGAAAGCTAGCTGAAATAAGAAAATAATGCAAGGAAATAAAAAATGCACTAGCAGAATTAAGATATGCACTAGGAGAGTGGAAATAAGGGGCAGAAATAATAAATCAGTGATGTGGAGAACAACAGCTCTTCAAAGAATACAAAGAAAAAGGGACAAAGAGATGAAAACTATCAAGGAGAGATTAATGTGGTTAAGAAATAACAGCTATCTAACCAAAATAATAATAATAATAATTCTGAGAAAGGAATCCAAAACAATAAATGAAGATATAATAAATGAAGAAAACTATTTTGACCTTGAGAAAGACCTTGGTGTGAAGACAAAAAAACCTCAATGAATTACAGGAACAGTCACTCATATACCAACACATTTAAAAAATAACATTGGTATTGAAAAATATCCTTTGAGTATCCCTGTAGAAAAATAACACAAATTAGGCCAAATCAGATTTTCCCTTGGGTAGAAGACAATGGAGCAATGTCAATATGCAGGATTTTGAGGAGAAAAGGCAATAAGTAGTCTCAGATTTGCAAGGATTCACAAAACATACCATTCTGGACTCTTAAAAAAAGTATTCAAAGATGTAGGCTAGATGACCAAGAGATGAATCGAAATTAAAATCTCAAGAATGGAGAAACTGAGGAATTTAGAAGATATCCCAATGCAATTATTAGCACTTCTAACATCACATACGGAGCCCTAGTGGCACAGTGGTTAAAGTGTTCGGCTGCTAACCAAAAGGTTGGTGGTTTGAACCCACCAGCCACTCTGCAGGAGAAAAATGTGGCAGTCTTCTACTATAAAGATTTATAGCCTTGGAAACCCTATGGGGCAGTTCTATAATGTTCCATGGGATTGCTATGAGTAGGAATCGACGACGGCAGTGAGTTTGGTTTAATATCATATAGCTGCAGAAATCCTCAGAATTTTTTACAATTAGCATATATTATATTAAACTTGGCTGGGTGTCTGAATGAGTTTGTTACACACAGCTCAACATTACTTATATCAGAACTATGATCACTGTCTTTGGGAGACATTTCCCAAATTTTAAGTGGTCCATCTAAATAATGATTCTATTCAATATATCAATTCACTGTGACCTGTTGGTACAATGTACAGCTAAGTCATTCTGGAATTTATGTTTTCAGGATCAGATTTTTCTCAGGGACAATACTGAACTTTTTCTATGATTAAAGGGGATAATTTATAAAACTTTCAGGCTAAAATTTTTTCCTATGGCAATAGTTCTTAAATTTTATCATGTATAAGTATCACCTAGGTGTTCATTCAAATACAGATTCCTAGCCTCCATAGTAAACTTACTGAACCAGAATCTGGGTACAGCTCCTGAGCCTTTAAAAGAAGAACTGTAGGTGATTCTGAAGCAGATGATCTAACAGCTATACGGCTGAAAAAACAATTCCTCTGTGATGTGGAACTCTAAAGTTTCAGTTGTGCATTTGTTTAAGAATTTGAGCAGATTAAAACTTGCTTCTTGAATAAAATCTTGAGCCTACCCCTAGCCATTCCAGCAAACTGTACCTGTGCAAAGATAGTATGGTAGGTCCTATCTACCGGCTGGCTCCCTCAATCCCTTTCACTCTTCTATTCTCTTACCTTCCACCATAGAGCCAGGAAAGCAAAATCAAACCCCCAAATTAATCTGCAGCTAGGAGTGGTCAAGTGATACAATTCTGCCCAATGAAATGTAAGTGGAAGTTCCTGGAGACTATTTCCTGAATTAAAAATAAAAAGCAAAGGCTTACAAGGGGATAGCTTTGCCTTTGACCTTGCTTCTTCAAGTTTGTAATGTAGATATTAGGTCTGGATGCAGCAGCTATCTTTTTTTAATATATATATTTATTGTACTTTAGATGAAGGCTTACAGAACAAATAGTTTTTCATTAAATAGTCAGTACACATATTGTTTTATGACATTGGTTAACAACCCCACGACATGTCAACACTCTCCCTTCTCGACCTTGGAGGACTCTTTTTTTTTTGGTGAAAATATACATAGCCAAAGTTACAGAAGTTTCTACATGCACAATTCAGTGACATCGATTACATTCTTCCACTTGTGCTGCTATTCTCAATATCCTTTTCCAAATTATTCCATCACCATTATCTTCAACTCACTGCCCCCTAGAATTCCCATCAAACCTTTTGAGTTGCTGTTGTCAATTTGATCTCACATAGATAATTCTTTCTTTTTGTACCTTAGATGAAGGTTTTCAGAACAAATAGTTTCTCATTATACAGTTAGTACACATATTGCCCTATGACAATGGTTAACAACCCCATGACATGTCAACACTGTCCCTTCTCAATCTTGGGTTCCCTAACACTAGCTTTCTTGTCCCCTCCTGCCTACTAGTCCTTGTCCCTGGACTGCTGTGCCTTATTAGTCTCATTTTGTTTTATGAGGCTGTCCAATCCCCAGCTGAACGGTGAACTTCGGAAGTGACTTCACCACTGAGCTAAAAGGGTGTCCGGGGGCCATACTCTCAGGGTTTCTCCAATCTCTTTCAGGCCAGTAAATCTGGTCTTTTTTGTTTTCTTTGTGTGTGTGTGTGTGTGAGTTAGAATTTTGCTCTACATCCTTTTCCAGCTCTGTCCAGGACCCTCTATTGTGATCCCAGTCAGAGCAGTCTGTGGTGAGCCGGGCACCATCTAGCTGTACTGGACTCAGTCTGGTGGAGGCTGTGGTAGTTGTGGTCCATTAGTCCTTTGGACTAATCTTTCCCTTGTATCTTGTTTTCTTCATTTTCCCTTGCTCCCGAAGGTGTGAGACCAGTGGAGTATCTTAGATGGCTGCTCACAGGGTTTTAAGACCCCAGACGCTACTCACCAAGGTACAATGTAGAACACTGTCTTTATAAACTGTGTTATGCCAATTGAGCTAGATGTTCTCTGAGACCATGGTCCCCACAGCCTTCCGCGCAGCAATTCAGTCCCTCAGGGAGTTTGGATGTGTCTATGAAGCTTTCATGACCTTTCCTTGCACAAGTTGTGCTGGCTTCTCCAGTATTGTGTACTGTCTTACCCTTCACCAAAGTTACCACTTATCTATTGTCTGTTTAGTTCCCCTCCCACCCCTCCCATCCCTTGTAACCAACAAAGATTGTTTCTTTTTGTGTGTCAACTTTTACATGAGTTTTTACAGTAGAGGTCTCATACAGTATTTGTCCTTTTGTGATTGACTTATTTCACTCAGCATAATGTTCTCCAGTTTCATCCATGTTATGAGATGCTTCACACGTTCATCATTGTTCTTTATCGTTGCATAATACTCCATTGTGTGTATATACCATAGTTTGTTTATCCATTTATCTGTTGATGGGCACCTAGGTTGTTTCCATCTTTTTGCTATTGTGAACAGTGCTGCAGTGAACATGGGTGTGCATATGTCTATTCGTGTGACGGCTCTTATTTCTCTTGGATATATTCCCAGGAGTGGGATTGCTGGATTGTATGGTATTTCCAGCTTTCTAAGGAAGTGCCATATCATTTTCCAAAATGGTTGTATCATTTTGCATTCCCACCAGCAGTGCATATGAGTTCTGATCTCCCCGCAGCCTCTCCAACATTTGTTATTGCCAGTGTTTTTGATTCATGCCAGTAATGCCGGGGTGAGATGGTATCTCACTGTGGTTTTAATTTGGATTTCTCTAACGGCTAGTGATCGTGAGCGTTTCCTCATGTGTCTGTTGGCTGCTTGAATGCCTTCTTTGGTGAAGTGTCTGTTCATTTCCTTTGCCCATTTTTTAATTGGATTATTTGTCTTTTCGTTGTAGAGGTATTGGATTTTCTTACAGATTTTAGAGATTAGACTTTTGTCTGACTTGTAATGTCCAAAAAATTTTTCCCAGTCTGTAGGTTCTCTTTTTACTCTTTTAGTGGAGTCTTTTGATGAGCATAAGTGTTTCATTTTTAGAAGAACCCAGTAATCTAGCTTACCTTCTGGGGTTTATGTGTTGTTGGTTATGGTCTGTATCCTGTCAATGCTGTGTATTAGGGCCTCTAGTGTTGAGCCTATTTTTTCTTCTATGAACTTTATAGTTTTAGGCTTTATATTTAGGTCTTTTGATCCAAATTGAATTAGTTTTTGTGTATGGTGCGAGGTATGAGTCCTGTTTCATTTTTTTGCAGATGGACATCCAATTTTGGCAGCACCATTTGTTAAAAAGACTATCTTTTCCCCATTTGATGGACTTTGGGCCCTTGTTGAAGGTCAGGTGCCTGTAGGTGGATGGATTTACATCTGGGTTCTCAATTTTGTTCCAGTGGTCAATGTATCTATCGTTGTACCAGTACCAGGCTGTTTTGACTACCGTAGCTGTATAGTAGGTTCTGAAATCAGGTAGGCAGCAGCTATCTTTTGATTGTGAGGATGGAAATCATATACACACCGAGGATGGAAGAACAGTAAGACAGAAGATGCTTGGGGACTTTAATAACATCTTTAAGCTATCAGACCAGCCCTGGACTCTTGGATGAGACAAATTCTTTAATTATTAAAATCTTACTTTAGGCAGTTGTGTTATTTATAGACAAATGAAGTCACAATGGATACAGATGGAATGACCTTCCGCTTAAACAAAGATAACAGGCTTCTTAATTTAAAAAAAAGACAACCTTGCCACTGCCTGATAGTCAAAGCATATGATCATCCTTTAATTGACAACACTGACTATCAGTGCTTCAGAACTTGTCAGAGGGTAAACCTTGAATTATTACTGCTTAAAACTGGTCAGGTAGCTGGCTAATAGGGTGGCAGGAAGAGACTTAAACAGTGTTTAGTAGTTGCTCACTACAGGCTGCCCAGCTTGGGATTCTGATGACTTGGTAAATTCGGGCTTTATCTGAGAGGGATGTAGTAGGCTGGAGAAAATGTGATCTGACAAGGGTTTGTAGATGGCCATTCAGGAACCAATGGTTTCAGGAACACACCCTTTGTGCAGCAGGTGTTACAAGTGCTGTCCTAGATGTCAGTTGTCCCCTGCTCGTTTTCTTTGAATTACACTCCCTGATTAATAAATAAATAAATAAACCCAAACTCGTTACCATCAGGTCAATTCCAACTCATGGTGACCCCATGTGTTACAGAGCTGAATTGCTCTATAGAGTTTTCTTGGCTGTAATCTTTATGGAAACAGATCACCAGGACTCTCTTCCATGGAGCTGCTGGGTGAGTTCGAACTGCCAACCTTTATGTGAGCAGCCAATCACAAACTACTTGCACCACCCAGGGACCTATCACTTCCTAATAGTCTATTTGAAAACAAGTATTGGAGAGCAATGTGGAATTTTTTGAACATAAGACAAGTCTATGGATATTGGTTCTCTGGGCATATGTTTAATGCACCATCTTTAATGGATGTCAGTTTCCTTTTACTTCTTTTGGTATTTTTATGGTTTGTCTTCTTGCAAAGGGTAGGTGGGTGGCAGAACTGTCATCAGTATAACTGGTGGTGTACTGAGGAAATAATGAAGATTCTGGGTGAAAGCTCAAGTTGATATAAGTGTGAGACTCTGAAAAGAAATTGAGTATTCCATCCTTCTGGTCCTGATTTTATAATTATTGTCCCATAAAGCTAATGTCAATTCCTAAAGTAAAAAATGACCTATATTGAACTTGAGATTTCTCATTGTATAATTTTCCCTTAGTCCTTGTCCTTTTACCAGCTAACAGCAGGTTCCCAACCACTGACTGTGACAGGCTGGCACCTAGCTGCAGGTATTTGAAGAGAGTTAGTTTGTAGGACTAATATCTAATCCAATACTAACTGTGTTTGGAAGCATTTAGAAGCCTTGCTCCCACTCTGGTTGAGAACGCCATCTTGATGCTTTAAGCTCACTCTCTTACCTTGAGAGCATTGCTCATGAACTCTCTTGGTCTGCCCCAACCCATCAAACTGGACCTCCAGGGCAGGGCTGGCTTCATGGGCATGTGACCTGTGCAGTCACACAGGGCCTCATGCTTAGAAGACACTCACACTTGGATTAATGCTCTGCTGTTGTCTATAGGGTTGCTATGAGTTGGAATCAACTCGATGGCAACAGGTTTGTTTTTGTTGCTGTTGTCATCTTGAAATTTTTAATAATTTTTATCTTTGAACTTGTGTTTTATAAGTGAAGTCCAATGGGACTCCAACGGTAAAATGGAGCTTGTATGTGAGCAGAGGAGATGTGCACAAAATATGTGCTTGCCATTTCTTGCCACCCCATTCTCTTAAGCACGTGCAATGTGCCATGAACCCAGAATTCTGGTGGACCCAGGATGTGTGGGAGTGTGTTATGCCTATGACTGAATAAGGAGGGGGGCGCTGACAGCTCCGAGTGACCACACCTGCCCTTTGACTAGGGCTTGCTTCAAACACAGAAGGAAGGCAGTGGCATTCAAAGAAGCACAAATGACCAAGGAACCCCATCATATCCTTTGTTACTTGTGTTACTTCCCTCGTATTAGCTAACCACTTACTCTGTAAAATGATGACATAGAAGGAAAGGAAAAGATAGGGCAGCCCATATTTCTTTTCCTTTCAGTCCTTCCTTACTCATCAGTAAGCCAAAGGTACAGAGTGTTGGTAGACTGTGTGCATATTAAACCAGTTGCCATAGAGTCGATTTTGACTCAAGGTGACCTCATCTGTTTCAGAGTAGAACTGTGGTTCATAGGGTTTTCAACAGCTGTGGTCTTTTGGAAATAAATCACAAGAACTTTCTCCTGAGGCACTTCTGGGTAGATTCAAACAGCCACCCTTTAGGTTAGTAGCCAAGTACTTAACCATTTGCACAAAGCAGGGACTCTGTGCAAATTAAGAAGTGAAATAAAAACAGCTGAGTTAGTTTTGTGCAATGTTTCCACTGTGCCGGTGAGAATGAAATATATATTTATGTACAAGCTATGCCAAGTTGTGTAATTTTGGTGATCCCACATGTAAGTTAAATGCTCTTATATTTGCATTTAAAACTCGCATAGCACAACATAAAGATGATCAGTAAAATTCATGCTAATAACTAAAAAATTTAAATTTTCTTTACATAGAATGACATTCAATAGCAAATAAAAAACACCATGACAAGTCGAGAGAGAAAGCATGGAAGATAGGAAAAAGCTTTATATTATAGCACCTTTAATGACACGTTTTCCCTGCTTTGTGAACAAGGTGCCCCACAGTTTCATGGTCCCCACAAATTATGGAGCCGGCCCTGGCCCTAAGTGTCTGTACGGGGCAGAGCAGATTCAGCAGATTCAGCTTTCTTACCACACTTCACACCATGTGATCTGGACTAAATGGCCACTCTCTGGGGGCTCATCTCTCCATTCGTAGACTGTCTCCACTTTATCAACATATATACACGTATATACACACAGACACGCAAACACACTGATGGACATAAGTAGAATTAAGGACATCGCTCTCAATAAAGTCTAACCTGATTCAGGTTCTGTTTCAGGGACCTCACTCACTTCAGACTCTTCTGTTAACAGTGATGGCCTGGCCTCTTCGGATACCTCAGGCTCCTCAGCCCCTTCAAGAGCTTCAGACCCCTCAGCATCAATCTCTTCTTCAGCCTCTGGTTCAACTTCTTCAGTTACTAGGAAAAATTAGAAGAAATAAGTTATCATTCAGTTAAGTTAACAAATATTTACTGGGTGCCAGGCACTGTAGTAAGTGTTGAGGCCAAAACAAAGAATAAGGAATGATCCTTGCTCTCCTGGACCATGCGGTTTAACAAGGGAGAGAGAGACACAAATGACATTAAAATGTAGTGGTGATGATCATCTGCTCAGAGTGCTATGGGAGCACCAGTCTAAGAGTTTACTCCAAGGAGGAGACGTGTACAGTAGTCCCAAATATTATAACAGCAAAAAACTGGAAACAGCCCAAATGCCCATTCAATAAGGGAATAGCTAGAACTACACTGTCTGATATGGTAGCCACTAGCCATATGTGGCTCTTGAGCATGTGAAATGTGGCTAGTCCAAACTGAGATTAGCTGTAAGTGTAAAATGCACTGTGGATTTTGATGACTTAGTATGAAAAATTGAATGTAAAATATCTCATTAATAATTTTTGTACTGATTACATGTTGAAATAATATATTGGATACAGTGGGAAAAGTAAAATATATTACAATTAATTTCATCTTTTTTTTACTTTTTAAAATGTGGCTATTAGAAAATTTATAGTTACATATGTGGCTTGCATTGTATTTCCGTTGGGCAGCCCTAGGCTAGATTATATATATAAAATAATAGATTTTCTTATAGCTAATTAAAAATGATAAGTAACGGCATATGTTGATCAATCTGTGAAATATATATATTTAAAACCTAAATTTTATGTAACTATTGATGACCACTCTAAGAAATATATGCATAGAAGTCTTTTAGGAAGAAGATGGGGTGAATGGTGGTGTCAGAAAACCCATCTCCCTAGTTCCCTTTAATATACTTATGAAATTGCCTGAAAAATAAACTACTTTTATGCAAAGATGATATGAAAAAATAAGTGAGCTTATTTTCTGGACTCTGGTGGGAATTTCTGTGATCTTTCCCCAGTGAGTACCTCTAAGAATCACCTTCTATGGTATGATATACTTCTGGCATCTGAATTTTAATCTCAATCTGGATGATTAACCACCCTGAGAAAAGCATCTTGAAGCATCCTTATCCCAGGACTACAGTACATGTGGCTTCCAGGTATGTGACTTGGAAAGTGGTTGTTCTTTTTGTGTTATATGGAGGATCTTCATGGTAACACACACAACAAGGAAGAACTAGCATTTGCTGAATCCTACTAAGGTTGGGGATAAAGTTACATGCTGTACACCAGAAGCCAAAATTGCTTTCAACTGAGCATCTCTTGTAATAAAAATATCTTATCATGTACCTCCAATATATGTATATTTATTTATAAATTTTATTCTTATCCTTAGATACGTTATAAAACATACAGTAAAAATAATCTACTGATGCAGAAAAATGTAAAATATTCTAATATTTTTTGTAGAACTCTAAGGGATCATCTGTGTACCATTTAATTCAGGAAAGTACCAAAAAGTGTTGTAAGATCCTTGTACTATCTGTTATTTTGATGTGAATTATGTGTGGTATTCATTATCTATTGTTTCATAATAAATTACCAAAAACTTAGTGGTCAAAACGACAATAATCATATATTATTCTTGTAGTTTCTATGGGTCAAGAATTTGGAAGTGGCTTAGCTGGGGGATTCTGGCTCCAGATTGCTCATGAAGTTGTAATGAAGATGTCAGCCAGGGCTGCAGTCATCTGAAGCCCTGACTGGGGCTGGAGGATCCACCTCCAAGGTGACCCCCTCACAGCCAGAACCGAAGGCCTCAGAGAGCAGAGATAAACTGTTACCACTGTGTCCTAACCCACAGAATTGTGTGCATAATAAAATGGTGGTTGTTTTACACCACGAAGTTTTGGTGTGGTTTGTTGCATAAAAATAGAAAGCTGAGACAGATATTTCTCACTCTTTTGAGCCACAGACCTCTTTGGCAGTCTAGTAAAATTTATGGAGCACTTCTCAGAATAATACTTTTAAACCCATAAAATAAAACACATTAAATAAAAAAAACCTATTGCCGTCGAGTTGATTCCGACTCATAGCGACCCTACAGGACAGAGTAGAAGTGACCCATAGGGTTTCCAAGCAGCGGCTGGTGGATTTGAACTGCCAACCTTTTGCTTAGCAGCTGACCTCTTAACCGCTGTGCCACCAGGGCTCCAAAACACATAGGAAACCAATTATATTGAAGTATAGTTATCGAGATACATAAAAAAAAAGTACTGTAGGAAATTTGTGCTGCTTTATTAATAAAAAGAACTAGCAGTTAATTTAATAACTATCATAAGTTTGGAATACTGATAAGTGTAAATAATACTTCAAGATATCTAAAGCTGTAATGTGACATGGAAATATATTTTTATTGGTGACAAAGTCAAGGAACTACTGATACTATTATGTCATATTAATAGTTGAAAGAAATGCTAAATTTCAGTTCAGATTTAGTGAAAATAAAGATGTAACTATTTTCCCATTCAAGTTCACAGAGCTGTGAGTTTTACCCATGGACCTAGAGTTATAAACTCCAACCTTAAAATAAACCATTAGAGTAAGTTTTTCTGGAATGGAAATGGAAGTCTAAGCATAAAGACAATGGGTAGAGCAAGAGTTGGGTTGTTTTCTCCACTCCTGAAGGATCCTGCTAACAGAAGTAATTCCACCAGCAATGTGTCACCCAGAGACAAGCAAAAACCATTCTTAAGATGCTGCGCATGCTGCCCCACTGGGTCCCCATCTTAGAGGATGCACAAGTGGGTGTCTGTTGTGTCAGGAGTCTTTTTTCTATGAACCCATTATTCCAGTGACCAAATTGAAAGCACTTAAGAGAATGAAAGCAGGTATTATACATATTTCAGGACCATAGACATAAACCTGGACTGTCATGAGCAAATTGGAAAATATCGTCATGCTGCCTATAATTCACTTGAAATGTTGTAGTTGCTTGTAGTGACAATACAAAACTTAAACGACAGATTACTAGTCACATCAATCTGTGCTTGCCTTTGGCTTTCCCACTCATAGCTTCCAGCATCCTTCGATTTTCTTCTTCTATTTTCAATGCTGCTTCTGTAGCTTTTCTGAAATGAAAAGGCCCCAAATTTAATTGTGTTTGCAAATTCAGATATCTCACGATATTGTAGGTTTAAGGGCTTATAGTGGTAAAAATAAAGAGTAAACTGTTTACAATATTCATGATACTTTTTACTTTCCTACCTCAATTTATCAAAGTAAACTTTTTAAATTTACTTTTCTCAGTTAATTTTCAGGGTTTTTTTTTTGTAAGAAAAATTAGAATGTTATACTTTGAAAAATCTTGGCTACTAGTTAGGAAACCTGTTAAAATTAATAAAGGATTGTTCAACTCTAAGTTGAAAAGACAAATGGGAGGAGTTGCAGCATTTTATTTCTGATTAAATGAGAAATGTTCACAACAAATGTTAAGTTAAAAAAGTAGAGTATAAAACTGTATGTATAACAGAATTTTAGTTTTGTATTTAAAATTTATATAAATGAGAAAAAGACTAGAAGAAAATTAATCAACTGTTAGTAATTATCTCTGGATGGTGGCATTACAGGAGTTTTTACTTTTCTTTAACTTTTTTTCTGCATTTTTCAAATTTTCTATATTGAATAAATAGAAAATTTCTCAATTTATCTTTGTAGTTAGTAAAATATCCCAGTTATTTTCTTTTTAACACTGTAATGATAAAATTTAAAGGGACCTGGAATGAGGACAGTTAAATATCTGGAAAGAATCTGCTTTTCATTAGGGCTGAAATACCAAACCTGCCTTAAAAATGGTGAAGGTGGCTATAAGGAAAGTTAGTAAAGTAATGGAGAAAAGTAGTATCTATTAAAATTTAAAATGTATATACGTTTGACCTAGAAATTCTATGTCTAGGAATTTGACCCTTAGAAATAGCCATACTACTCGACAAAGAAACATATGTAACAATGTTGATTACAACTTTTTTATATGATTAAAACTGTATCAAATATTCACCAATAAGGGAATAGTTAAGTAAAGCACAGCCCATTCACAACAGCACCACACAGCTTTCCTCAGACTTTTCCTATAGGCCCTTCATTCTCTCATAATCAGTGTTCTTTGTGCCAATTTACCCATCCTTTGAAAATTTAATTAAATATATTTTCATCAAAAGACATTACAAACCTCTTCTCCCAACAGGTCTGTATTTTGTTAATAGGGAGCGCTCTCTCATTGTATTCTGATCCTATGTTCTGTAGTCAAGTCTTGGTGTAATTCTAGCTCTCTTTGTTCATGACCTAGACCTCTGAGACTACTGAGTATTGTTTCTAAACTCCCCCTTCCCCATTTTGATTGCGTGCTCATCAGTAGTCATTCTACGTAGGTCAGGCTGCACTCTTTTGTGAGACCTTCTTGATCCAAAACCTGGATAAAGTAATATTGCTGCTGTACATAGACCGAGAGGCAGTTGTTCAAACAGAACAAGGGGATACTGTGTGGTTTAAAATCAGGAAAGGTGTGCGTCAGGGTTGTATCCTTTCACTATACTTATTTAATCTGTATGCTGAGCAAATAATCCTAGAAACTGGACTATATGAAGAAGGACGTGGCATCAGGATTGGAGGAAGACTCATTAACAACCCACGGTATGCGGATGACACAACCTTGCTTGCTGAAAGCGAAGAGGACTTGAAGCACTTACTGGTGAGGATCAAAGACCACGGCCTTCAATAGTGATTACACCTCAACATGAAGAAAACAAAAATCCTCACAACTGGACCAATAAGCAATATCATGATAAATGGAGAAAATTTTGAACTTGTCAAGGATATAATTTTATTTGAATCCACAATCAACGCCCACAGAAGCAGCAGTCAAGAAATCAAAAGACACATTGCATTGGGCAAATCTGCTGCAAAAGACCTCTTTAAAGTATTAAAAAGCAAAGATGTCATCTTGAGGACTAAGGTGTGCCTAACTCAAGCCATGGTATTTTCAATTGCCTCATATGCATACGAAAGCGGGACAATAAATAAGAAAAACCAAAGAAGAATTGATGACTTTGAATTATGGTGTTGGTGAAGAATATTGAATATACCACGGACTGGCAGAAGAACGAACAAGTCTGTCTTGGAAGAAGTACAGCCAGAACGCTCCTTAGAAGGGAGGATGGTGAGACGTTGTCTCACGTACTTTGGACATGTTATCAAGAGGGACGAGTTCCTGGAGAAGGACATCATGCTTGGTAAAGGAGAGTGTCAGTGAAAAAGAGGAAGACCCTCAATGAGATGGATTGACACAGTGGCTGCAACAATGGGCTCAAACATAGCAATGATTGTGAGGATGGCACAGGATTGGGCAGTGTTTCGTTCTGTTGTACATGGGGTCGCTATGAGTGGGAACTGACTTAACGGACCTAACAACAACAACATAAAGATGTAAAAATTTGGAATCAAAAGAAGTAAAAATTAGTTATAGACATAGCTCAGAAAATCTCATATGGCAAAAAGGAGGTGAAAGTAGAGAGTTCGGAGACTGGGAGAGAGCTCTCTTTCCTTTTAAAAAAATTACAGACATATATATTTTTTATTTATATAAAATGCAGCAGACTTTTAGTCTAGAAATCACATGAACTCTGTTTGTTTTACTATTATGTTGATATCTGTTCTCAAATATTCGATCACTTCTCATACACTGCAAAAAAATTAAATCATCTCTTAAACATTAGCAGATTGCAGTTCCATTTGTAACAAAACTTTTAAATGTCTACAAATAAATGTAATAAGTAAGTCTGTAATTACTGTCTGAATTAGTAATACTTTTTAGTTGATATATCAAACAATAATTTTATAAATCAATTAAATTATAGTTCATATATTTTTGTGTTAAGCTCCTAAAGGAATGATTGATTTAGATGAATAATAAACACTAAAAAAAAAAAACTCTAACACACATCTCAGTTACTCCCATTTATCTCACCTCCCATCTCCCAGCTTCATAATTTCTAGAAATTTAATTATCTCTAGGTCTATCTTAAAGAGCTCTCCCCAACTACAGCTCAAATTGCTAACATCTGAAGGGAGAAAGCAAATAGCATTTGAGAATGCAGCTGTAGAAGCAATCATTAATAGCAGGAGGTTTAGTGGATTTATATAGAGAAATTTCACTCTGAAATGTCTTGACATTTATCACTTTGAGGAGTAGGAATCCCAGTGGACAAATTAAAATTTAAAGTATCTGAAGAGCACGTTTCAGCAAGGAAGAACAATTAGCAAATTAAGTCACTGTTTCTTTTTATACTTCTATTCCCCAATCTAAAGAATTTGATAGTTTATTGAAGTTCGGCCTTGACCCCAGTCATGAGCAGTAGATAATGTGTTCACATTTTTAAAAGTTCTTCATTGCACCCAGATTAGAGAATGAGTCCTCAATGACAAACGTAAAAAGCTAGTTTTGAGATTTAAAAAAGAAAAGAAGCAATGTTAATATATTTGTTAAGTGTTCTTTTCTTATGTAGACCTTAGCTTTGAATTTTAGTCATAGCACAAGTATATTTTCATTTACTTCCTAACATATTATTTCTTCAGTGAATAATAGTTAGCAAAACCATTTAAGTCACAGGTAAATATGATAAAAATATGTAATCTTTTTTTTTTACATTGTCTTTCGAGAGTAGATATTTGATTTAGAGTAAGTTTGATATGGGCTATGAAAACATTCACACCTGTGGAATTTAGAGATTCTGGGAGTATTTTGGAAATTATTGTTTTTCTTAGATCTAATTACAACTGGATCTAGTTAATAGATCATCACTTTGATATAAAAGTCACTTCATTAGTATAAATTGTAAGTAGATATTTAACATCCATAAAAGATACATTAACCTTCTTTTATGCCAGGCAGATTTTACCTTGCAGTTTCTTCCTCTTTTTTCTTCGTTTGCAGTTCATCTAGTAATCTTTCTAAAATATTAGCATCAATTTCAGATTTATTCTCTAAATACAATCTGTTAAGTAAGTATTTTCCTGAAATACAAATAAAGAGAATAATATCATTTTTGAATATGTATAAAATAGAGTCAGATACATTTTGGAAATTGACAACGAAAAATTATTTCTACATATATTCAAATATACTTTCCTGTAAGCATTATCTAAATAGAGCCCAGAGTCTTTAAAATATTACAAGTATATTAATATATACTTTAAAAAAAGTATATGTTGGCATGGTAATAACTAAATCATTAAAAGAGGATGCATATTACATTCCTCCTCTCCCCCTGAAAACTCTCTTCAAATATATTTCCTTAGGCGGCAAAGTAACAGAATAATTAAAATTGAGCTGTTATCTTTATGCATCTAATTTTTCTTGATTGAAGGGAAGAAGAACTACTCATATGTATAATCTTTTCCCATTAGCCTTATAGATTGTTCCTTAGAGGTTATAGCTGCTGATGTGTACCGTTTAATGAGAAACTATGGTGTTCTGTAAACCTTCATCTAAAGTGAGAATAGCAGCACAACTGGAAGAACGTAATTGGCGTAACTGAATTGTACATTTAGAAACTTTTGAAATGGTGTATCTTTGGCTATGTATATTTTC